AGTGCATGAAATAATTATGACATCTATAGACAACGACGTATAGGAGCACTCTAAAGGCATTATGAACCAGTCTTGGTACTCTTGCTTCTTCTGTGACTATTGATGACCAAGTCTGGTCCAAACTATTTATTTTTGAAGAAATGGAAAGCAGGCCATATCAGGCATGATGTATGGAAAGCCGCAAGTTGGAAGGTGATACAGTAGACTCAACAAACGAAAATTTTATAAACGGAATTGCTGCTTAAATGAAACAACTGCTTTCAAATTATTGGTTTCATGCCTGAATGCTGTATCCACGTTTATCAATCAATTAATAAAACTCCTGTTAAACAAAACATATTTCCTGCGTCCTTTCAGGTTCCATTCAGTGAAATTTTGTGACCTTTACAAAATCTGCTTGTACAATTGCTGGCCATTCAACAACATTACAAGTCTGCATTCTTTTGGGGGGAGAGAGAGCCGTTTGCAGTTGCACATTATACGGTTTTCACATGATCAACAGCTTCTGCACCACTCTATTCCCTTTTCAGGACAAAGGCTTATGCCAACAATCTTCATTGACGAAACTTGTTCTGGCTGGTTTTCTTTACTGACTTAGGCTGTGCATTCTTTCCCTTGGCACCCACTCTCATAAGCACCTGGTTCACTATCACTCTCATACTATGACTGTTTATATACCACCACACTTATATACAACTGGTTATCCACCCTACACATTAAATGGCTTTACCATTGCCATTCAGGAGTGGATTATCCAGGGTTCAAAGGGTTCTAATGAACCGTCACTCCAGTTTTAGGGGGCCCCCAAGGACCAGAAAATATGGCCGGCTTCGTTGTTTTGTTCGAAAACGTTTAATCCTCCCATTGCATTATCTATTTATATCCGATTCAATAATCAATATACATTTACAATCAATATACAACGTACAATAATCAATATACAAGAGGTTGTTCGTTGCGTAACGTGCATAATCTTCTAGACAGCTCACAGTTCGGCAGTCTGTGGCAAAAACCCTTTACTCTCACAAGACCATGCATCGTGTTAAGGGAAGGAGCTGCTTCAGCGGATGGACACATAGAGCAGCCTGACGAAGATTTTAGCAGCTACAATCCAACACTCAATGCGAAGACGCAGAGAAAGTGGTTTCTGTTTGAAATATCAATGCGCTAAGTGGAAATAACAGGTATGAAGCTGATACATAGGTACGCTATAGTATGTTTTCATTATAGTAACACGTTGCCCCCTGCTCTTCAACAGGAGGTCGAGCGAGCGGCCTCTGCTCTTCAACCCTCTGCTGTCTTCCTTTGCTGGGTTCCTGGGCATTCAGGTATTAACGGCAATGAGCTAGCTTATCAGCTTGCCTGCGATATATTGCACCGGGCACCGTTCATTCCCTGGCCAACACCTTTGGAAGACAGTGAGAGCTCTGCGAATAACGATGGGCAGATCTTCTTGCGTCACACTATCAAGGAGGTATATCTCCAGCTCCGGCTCGACAAGCGTCTTTACCTCCCCCCTCATTCATCACTCACTGCGCTCGAGGCTCGAACTCTACGGCTCATCCAAATGAACTGCCTGATAACCCCCTCTCGCCTTTTCTTTTATAAATATAGGTCTAATCCCTGCTGTCCTAATTGCCCCTCCCCATACGCCGACCTGTCACACTGCCTGTTTTACTGCCCAACTGCTCAGCAATCCAGCTATTACCCTCCCCCATCCCTTTCCATCACCTCCTGGCTCGACTGGATCGGCGCCGAAGGGGAAGAAGAACAGCGTCGACTGGTCACACAGGCAGTCGAAATGCTCGGCCGGTAAATTGTGGCTGAATAAAAGTCTATTATTACTACTAGTGTACACAACGCACCATGAAAAATTTGTATGGTGCGGAACTTCCTGATTACGCAAGGACTCCGAAGGAGCGATGGTTTGATTCTTCGCTTCTGGCATTGCCGTTCTGCCTTAATTCCTCGTTGGGGGTAATATAGAGAAACTTAAGAGGCTATCACTTGGTAAAAGTTGTGCACAGGAAATATCTACAACATATATCCACTATCTGGCGGCCAGATTGTGGACACCCCCTTCCCATATTGAAAATATTTTAAATTTGAACCATCTCTATTACTTGTTGTGATCAGTAAGCATATACAATATGCATATACATGTAATAGCACTATATTGACATGCTGCCTTATAAGAGCTCAAATGATGCACTGTTTTATGAAATCAAAAGTAGCGTACTTGCTGTAAGTATGTGCAGATCAGTTTCTGAAAAAGGCCCACCTGTCAACTTCGGCAGGGCTCGCACGCAGGCAACCAAAACGTGCGCTACCGAAACAGTGAAGCTGAAGCAGATAGAGGAAGCTATCTTTCACAAAGGACACCCCCTGATTTTCGAGGTAAGATGTCCTCTCTCAAAACAAGGGTAAACAACGCTATAGGTTAAGACGATTGGAGGAGACACACACGGCCGGTGCTTGTACTGCACTTCTAAGTGTCGTATGCATTCCTTCTTTTCGTCTTCTCGCACAATCTTCTTCAGTATTATCCGACAAACCAGACAAATCTTAATGCTGTCCATGTGTCTATGTCTCCCGATATGGTTAATTATTACGATGGCAATCTTCCACATGTGCCTCAAGAAAGAAAACGCCCAGGGGATATTAAACACTCAGGAGAGGCTTAGAACAAAAGTAGCTCGTGTTTTTGGCAGCTAAATCTAAAAAGCTTCGAGTCTCGAGCATGACCAGGTGGCAAAGCAGGGAAGAAAGAGGGCTGAGCGAGGGCCCCCTCTTATTTTTTTTAACCGGGTTCTCCACACTGTTAATTCAGCCCTGGTGCCATTCTGTACTCTTAAATGTCAGCTAATAGATCAGCTGCCTCAGCATATTCTTTAATCCACAGTGCTGTCTTCCTGTTGCTTAATGTCATGCTTGGCACTTTTAGTATAGTTGACTTTCAAATATATGTCTAACGCTGTTTAGTACCAAATAATGCAGTCATTGTACATTTTTCTTTTAAATACGGGTGCACAAACATTCGAAAAATTTGAATAACTGATTGAAAAGCGCTATGCGTATTTGATTGAGTACTCGAATTAAATAATACATATTCAATGACATTCAAAATGCTGAATATTTTTTTAATAGATTTCAAATAATCATCACCATTGGGGAAAACCCCAAAACAACGAAACTTTGGAACAGCCGAAGGTCATTCTTCTTCTTTTTAATCTCTAAAGTGATCTGCACCCTAGCCCAAGCTTCTACTAGGCTACCGACACTATATTGATAGCCACATGATTGTGTTTCTTCTGGAAACTTCACTATTGCTCGCTTTTTGCTATGCTGCAGCTGTATCGCATTAATCAGCTCCTGTCTTCTTGTAATAACCGCTTGCAGCTTCATGATCAACAACAGATGCTAGTGTTGCATTCGCGCAGTTTGTTTTTACAGATGTAGATTTAAACGCAGATTGTTACATGCTTTCGGTGAGCAGGCCATGTTGTGATGACAGGTTAATGAGCTTCATAGCATCTTTACCTGTATCTACTGTGTTTGGTTCCGATATTGGTTTGTTCTTGTGGCCCAGTATTATTTAAAATTAGCTGATAGTCTTACACTGATAACGTTAGTGAATGCTGTATTCGAACTTAAACTTCCAAAATATCATGAATGCTCTAGTTCCTCCTGTATACGAACCTACCTTAGTTTTTGTTATTGTGGTATTTTGAGTCAATTATACCTAGCTGTAATGGTCTTTAGTAAAAGCATGTGAATATTTGTTTCAAACAAGATGTTGTGGTGTTGTAAGACTACTTTTAAAATGGTCTACTTACTATTTGAACAGTATTTGATTACTATATGCATATTCAATTCAGTGCCACCATTATTCATGTTCGATTTGATCTCAATATTCACTATTCGCACACCCCTGCTTTTAAAGATAGCTGTGAGCTGTCAGTCATGATAAATGTGGCAGTGCCTGCTGTATGTGCTCCACTGGTAATTATCTATCTATACATTTCTTTTGCATAACCTGGATGCCATCTTACTAATTTATCTATAGATATATGAACATATTTATGCAAAATTTCCTTTTAGGTCTTCTTAGGATATTCGCAATTGTTAGCATTCTTCCACAGCATTTCTGAAAAGGACAATGTCGTGTGAATACCATAGGTTGCAAGGTATTCTCCGTTCATCTTTACTCTTTGCAGTTCCCATTCTAATTGCTTGTACTCCTAGCATGCAGTGAATGGCATAGAAAACGTTCATACTTGAAGCCATATTTTTTTGTCGGTGCGTTTCCACTCATCCGAACAGTAACTTAAGATAGATTTGAAGTATTTAGAGATATTATATAGGGTACTCATGTATGCCTTGGTGCTTCTACGACTGTTAGAAGCGCTACTGAATCAAGTGCATTTTTGTATACATGAAAGCTATATGAGTAAGAATGCCACACCTTTCAACTATATCGTTCAACAGAAGTTTTGACGCTTTTCAGTTATATAATTTTTTCCTTCTTTGACACGTAAAGAATATCCGAGGGCATCAATGAAGGCTTTTCGTTAGAGCACACAGTGAAGAAGAATTGTTTTATCAATTCCTAATTTGATCCAAAAAATATCTAGACATCGTGCTTCGTTTCCATCGTTTTCGATAACTGGACAAGCTTTGTAACTTTGTCCTTGGTCTCCTTCGGTAAAGGAGGAAGTTGGGTCAAATTATTCACATTCGTTTTCTCCTATGCCACCCATTTCCTCCCACAGCGCGGTCGTGCAGAAAATTCTTTGCCCAAACGTTTCATTACTGCAGCCGAATCTTTCTACATCTGGCACACAATATGCGTAGGCAACGTCTCCAGCGAATCGGAACAGTCGAAAACGTGCGTACATCGGACGTTATTCGTCCACGGAGCCGCTATCGCACAAACGCTCAGAGCGCCGCAATGTGGCGGGATTTTGAGATGCGAGAGTGTGCTAGTTGGTTTGCCCGGAGTTGATTACGTATGTAACTTTTCTTAGCTAGCGCCTAGGGGAGTATATGCGGTTGGTTGAAGCCGTGTAACGAGTGATGCTTGAATGGACGTACCCACGTGGATTTGTTTTGTGCGGCTTAGCACGCGTCAAACTGGCGACGCGCTGCAGGTTAGGCACGGTGATTTATGATGAAAGGTGTGCGCTCGCACTTGTTCGCGCTACACGGAAGAAGCACTCCTGTCGACAACAGCTGAATCGAGGCTAGCGGGGATAACGGCGACGATGATTCGCCGCTTGTTGGAGTACGCGGCATTCCACCTCGAAGCTTGGTTCAAAATTCATCTCATTGCAGCGGAGTACTTTTTCAGAGAATGTGCGCAAAGGTTCAAGGTGTGTTTGCTCTTCCGGCTCCGAAAGCTGGCTTGTAAGTACTTGCAATACTTCGCGCTTTCCTCCACAACGAACATAACTTGATTGCTACACTCACGTGCTCGTCTTCAGATTGCTCTGTAGAGAAGAAAACTGCTGTCGTTACCGGTGGGACGCAGGGTTTAGGATTGGAAACGGTCAGAGCCTTGCTATACCGGAACGCGCGAGTGATTGTCGGTGAGTATCGTTATATTATCTTATCAGATATTGTGCCTGAAACTCGGGCGCACGTTGTCGATCATCTTCGTGCTCGATGAAAGACCAAAATTTACAAAACTCTTGTAGGGTACAGTACCTGAGGTCCATTTTTCTATGTAGCATGATAATACTTTGCGTCGAGATTCACCTGGTGATTCTGAGAAAGCCGAAACGTCGACCACATACAGCCGGCGTTATTGACATAAAAATAAGCATGAAATATGTGTTAAAAGAGGAAGCGAGCGTGCGTGCGCTCGCGTGCGTGTGTGCACGCGCACGTACGCTATCGTTTTAATTAGCAAAAAAGGCAACTCTTCCAGTGCTACAAAACCTTCACTTCCCTCTCTCCTCTACGTCCTGTTTCGTGGTGAGTGCTTGCTTCCACTTCTGTGTATGCACATTGATTTTTCATAAATGCACAATGTTTTCAGGAAGTTCTACACCAGTAAGATCTATCAATGTCAAGAAATACCTGGAAGAAGCCATTCCTGGAAGTGAAGGTGTGTTTTGTGTCGCTGTATATATACAGCCCCGAGCAACATGCGAGATAAATTATGCAACTCTTATGGGGAAGTCCATGTTACTTTTTTTTTCCCCTCCTACCTACCTTAGAACAGCCCACCTTGAAATGTTTGTTAGATGTCAGAGTAACTGTCCTGTAAAAAATTTAGCATCGTGGAATAATTTTAGCTTTGCAACAGACATATAGCATGTGTTCCAGAAAACGAACATGCTAAGAGTTTTGCGAAAGGGTACCCAGGGCTTGGGTTTCTTGGCTGTGCATGCCATTTTTGAAAAATAGGTGTACATATGCTAACCTAAGGTGTCGCTTGCATCTGCGAATGCATAGTGGTGACACTCGAAGGCAGTTGCACACACAACTCTCTAGGCCCACTCTGTCACTACGAAGAGGCACTGTGTGGTAGGAAACAACCACAGTACGAACTTAGGCATTTTCTTTCATACTTCTCGCAGGTGTACATTGATGAATATTAGTTTTGTCATGACCTTGAGATTTCACTCTGCTACATTACAGTGGAAATACTGCCTCTTGACCTGAGGTCAATGTCATCTGTTGACAACTTTGCGCAAGAAATTCTCCGGCGCAATGTCGTCGTAGACATACTCATCTGTGGTGGTGAGCTCTTGCTTCATTTTATTTGTGCAGTGGTGCTAGTTTACTGAAGAATACATGTGTGCACATATTGCAGCTGGCGTCATGTTCACTCCATACCAGGAAACTGAGGATGGATTTGAATCACACCTAAGCATCAACTACCTTGGCCACTGTCTCTTGACTGCTCTGCTGCTCCCCCGATTGATATCGGCCGGTACACCGAAGAGAATGGCTAGAATAGTTAATGTTTCCTCGTGCGTTCACAAAGTAGCTCGCATAAACTTCGATGACATGCACGGCAGGTATGTTGTCCTGCATATTTTCATTGCATTGTTTGATAGAAGTTTCATAATTATGCAGTCTCATACACTCCTACCTGTGCAGTAATGCTTTTTCTTTTTTTTTTCCCCTCTACAGAAACCTCTATTCTAGTTACTTCAGCTATGCACAATCAAAGCTAGCCCAAGTGATGTTCACCCAGTCACTGGCTCGTTATTTTCGTGTGGAGCACATGCCCGTGACCGTAAATTGCCTGCACCCTGGGATTGTTGATACCAATCTCTACAAAAGAGTCTTCTGGACTCCCTTAGTTTCTGGAATTTTCTTCAAGGTATGGTTTTCTTTTTTTTATTGTATATCTGCATATCTTCCTTTGCCAGTGACTGTGTGCATGGGTGAAGGTGCGGCATGATCAACCAAACTCATCTGTCTTGATATAAAATGCACACACAGCGTGACCTTAGTGTGAAGTCGAGTTATTCGCCGTTTTGTTAACTTCTCTTTGCCGTTAATTAAGCTGTTCAATATGCCCGTAACAAATGTTGATTGATGATTGATATGTGAGGTTTAACGTACCAAAACCACCATATGATTATGAAGGACGCCGTAGTGGAGGGCTTCAGAAATTTCGACCACCTGGAGTTATTTAACATGCACCCAAATCTGAGCTCTTGGGCCTACAGCATTTTCGCCTCCATCGAAAATGCAGCTGTCGCAGCCGGGATTTCATCCCGCGACCTGTGGGTCAGCAGCCGAGTACCTTAGCCACTAGACCATCGCAGTGGAGTTGGCTCTGATAAGGTGGTCTTCTTTTTTTCACAGACACCGGAAGAAGGAGCACAAACAAGCCTCTACGCTGCCTTGTCTTCAGACATGGAAGGTGTTAGTGGCGTTTACCTGGAGGAATGTGCCATAACTGAGCCAGCACCACAGTCGAAAGATCGTGCCTTGCAAGATAGATTGAGGAAGGAGACCTGGGCCTGCCTACAGCCTTGGCTTCCTTCTGCATCTTCACCACTTTCCACTCAACCATTTCTCCGTAACTAGCTGTCAGGATGCAGGGCCATTAGTTAGAGTGTTCAAGTAAGCTTCCGAGTTTTTACGCTTCACTTGTGTTGGCCAAGCTGTGGAAACTTTCAGCACGGCAAATACACTCGTGGTGCATTTGGCTTGTCACTTTCATGCACTCTCAAAATGTGCTTTACAAGCGACCTCCTTAAACCAAGCTTCTGCAATGCCATTGTTCATTCAGAGCATCAAGCAACAGCTCAGAAGTGATCTCTATTTAGAGCTGGGAACGTTAAGTGACGTTCATTGAAACCTGGTGGTATTGCTTCTCCAATCACTTCTACAACACCAGGCACTCCTGTCCTCCAGAAATTCCACATCACTGCAAGCAGAGTTGGTTCACTCCATAAACCACTTGAATTTACCATCCATCATAGCATGAAAGTAAAAGTGTGCAATATGCAAGGCAATGAATTGCTGTTGCATTATATTCCAAGTCCATGTCGAAACATTTTTGCACATTTTGATTGATTTGTGGGGTTTAACGTCCCAAAACCACCATTTGATTATGAGAGACGCCGTAGTGGAGGGCTCCGGAAATTTTGACCACCTGGGGTTCTTTAACGTGCACCCAAATCTGAGTACACGGGCCTCCAACATTTCCGCCTCCATCGGAAATGCAGCCGCCCGCAGCCGGGAATCGAACCCGCGACCTGCGGGTCAACAGCCGAGTACCTTAGCCACTAGGCCACCGCGGCGGGGCATTTTTGCACATTTTTGCAACAATTGCAGCACAAGCATCATACTTTACGTTGTACAAAACATCACAAAGCATCGTACAACATCAACAAAGCATCGTCACCATTTATTTCATGCTTTAGGGCTGTTTGCAAAGCATTAAATAAGAAGGTGGGGGGGGGGGGGGGTAAGAAATAAGGCATGTGATAACACGAATGAAGTATTTGACAGAGCAGCTGAATAAATTATTTTAAAACAAAACATGGATTCATCACAGGGATTCGTTTATTGTCATGCTAAAATTAAATTTTCATAAAGACCCGATCTGTGTGCATTTTTATTGATTGTGTACGTTTCTAAATTATAGAGTCTTGCCATCGTGCTACGCAGGGTTGTTTTTCTTATGGGGATCATCTTGCAAATGTCTTTAGCCTAGCACTGCTGTTGGTATTCTGCCTATATCGGTAGTTAGTCTCGGCAAGACCTATGGCAGAATTCTTCAGGTTGTCTTCTCTATCCACTGTTCCCTGCGATGGAAGCATCGGTTTTCTGTAAGAATGATGAGTCAATATTTTTAATGATGTTTTCATAGAGACTATTTCGTACTAGTAGGGTGTTCGTGCACAGCTCGTTCGAGAGACCAGAATGTTTGTCTACATCACGGTAGAAATAAAGGGACCGTGGATCACAGTGACAAATTCAAGCATCCATTTCACTATTTCAGTAGGATTATATTTTTAATTTGCATTTTAAAGTTACAAAAGACTGCTGTGTCATGCAGCCGAATTGCTGCACTGTGGAGTCATTTAATTTGCTGTGCTAGTCTGATGCTTTCATGCTCAAGATTGAGGTATTTTTGTTAATATTCATCCCTGCTCTATGCTATGCTGCTTATGAGGTAGGTAGAGTTGATGCTGTGTAACAGCACTGCTTTCACATCAAATAGCAGAAAATGTTGAGCCACAGTGCCTATGCATTCAGTGCACGTATGCACAAGGAACTGTAGCACGAAAATAAAAACCTGCTGTCAAGCTCAACACCCACTGTTTACTGCATTTGTTGTGTGTACAATGTCACAATCGCTGCCGAGAGAACAATTCTGATTATAATTTTTTTGCATCATTCTGTGCAGTAACATTCTATGATTAGAAACTCTGACCTGTAAGCTTTCTCACTTGACTAAAGGAAATGGGTACCATGAAAACTGTTTGCCAGTCCCCTTAAGCATACCAGAAGTGTTCATTATAGCTAGCCTTTGCCAATAGCCTTACTAATGAATGAGGGTGACAGTTGTTCTGTGCAACCAGCAGTTGTGTACATTAAACAGATTTTGTCAGGCATGTGCTTGCCTATTAGAACTATATGCAGCTGAGATGCACTCCTGACATTCATGGAGCAAGGTGTGCATAAACATTCTTTGAGAGTCCAAACAAAACTTCTTCTGCAAGCACATTGGTGCATGACCATACGCTTGAGATTAAGCATCTTTGAGAGAGATCCTTCTGGCTGGATGAAAATTCTAGGTGCTGAAGTAGTGCCCCGCCAAAGGTTTAGGTAGAGCCCTGTTTTGTACTTGGGAGGAGGGGTGCGAGGGCTCACACCGCACCCTCCAGTGAAAAAAAAAAGGGGGCGATTCCCTTCCACCTGCCGTTCCAGGGCCCATGCAGTCCCTTCATTAGGAGGTCAACTGTGGGTGGTGCTGTTCCAGCATCTAGATTGACTGTGCATGCACAATAATCTCGCTAAGTCTTGGCAGTATAACCTGCCTGGACGTCTCATCTTTTTTTCTTTAGAAGTACAAAAAGTTCCAGGAGAGTTATAGCGTTTGCTCCTAACTTGACAAGTCATGTGACAATATTGTCCTGCGACATGGTGAATGTAAAGGAAATTATTTGCTCAGACAAATGGTATACGTACTTCACTGATTATAGTCATCCTGGTTACAACCGTGGACGCTTCGGAGCTGGACCTAGACCACTGGACATAGCACAAAAGAAAATTTAGCTATCCAGGTTGTAGATGGAAGCACTGTTCATACATTAACAATTAGTGTGAGGGGAGCGTGTAAGTGGACCATATAAATTCAGCAATATTGTACATCAAAAGTTAATACTGTGTGCATCATGTATACGGGCAAGAAGATTTCATCACAATTTCACTAAAGCAGAATTTCAATTCTTGGAAGCCAAACATTCTTGTATCTTACAATTTTATAGTATGTGTGTTCTGGTGTAATCTAGCCTGACCAACTCAGCTTACAGAATTTAGTGCAGCATTGTTTCTGCCCTCTGTGTCTCCATACTCTAAAGTGTCAATCCTGAGGGGTATTAAAGAATTTCACTGTTGGCATGACATCACGGAACATTTGACCCAATCTGCTGGCATACATACAAGTTTTCTTCAAGTAGAAAAGTGGCATATCTACTCCTGTTTTCATTTAGCCTTGTCACTAGCTTGTCACCACCAGTAAATTATCAAATTGCTCTATATTGCAGAATTCTGTAATTACAGTGCATTGAGTCAATCAGAACGGCCAAATCAGCCCTTCGCTACTTCAAAGCTGACAATGCATGACAATTGCACAGTTTCCAAAATAGCATCCCTGGTATCCCATTTATATTGTGACAAAACTGACGACTCCACAGCTACCCGCCTACACATTCAGGAGCGCACCTTTGTGGCGAGTCATCCGACCTGTCAGACCAACTTGGTAGTGGCCACTGAATGCTCTGAAACGTGAATTCGGCGTGATGATGGGAACGCTCCTGCAGTGCTTGGATTTGCTGCACCTGCTGCTGCAACAGGGCTTCACGCTGGTCTAACTGGACCCTGAGGCCACCCATCGCATGATCCATGCGTTTACGGATCTCTTCGGAAATCGCTAGTTGTCTGCAGAGTGGGAAAGAAAAGTGTCGCTACTTGTTTCCATATATCAAACATTCGTGGCTAATAATTGTACCAGCTGTTTGTGTATATTCACTCATTTTTATGACATAGCAGTGACCAGAAAGTGTTTTGAATTATGGAGACACTGCAAGTAGATGCAGTACAGTCTTCGTTTGGAATGGTGCCTTCAGTTATCTCTGAACAAGCTAGGTGGTTACCACATTTGCCAATGTCATCGTCAATACGTCTCATTTGAAATTTCACCATTGAGCATTTATTGCACTCAGCCATAACTTTTAAAGCATTAAAGGTAGATTACCTTTTTTTGCAATGATAATTAGAAGGACTCTGCTAGCAAGAATTTATCATTGTAATGTTCCACACTGGGGGCATAGGCAGGAATTTAGGGAGAGGGGATGCTTCAACCACTTTTTGTACGTGTAGGTGCATTTCTACAATCGTGTATCTCATGCCTATTGAAAAATGTATGCATGAGAAGATGCGATGTGCACAAACAAAATACAAAATTTTCGGGGTATGGGCGTTGATCCTCACCCCTTGCCACGCTAATGTTCCAGAAATTTTATCGCGGCCAACACACTGCACCCTGTGAGCGAGACAAAGCGTGTGAAGGCGTGCGGGCAGTATGGGTGTTGCTGCATCGGGGAAGGTATACGTTGTGTCGGGGTTCCCTATGCCATATATCGGCTACAATACTCGCCTTCTCTGCCGCTATGAAGTAGAGGAGAGCATTTAGGAGGCCCTGCAAGACTTTTAGCATGATCAGAGAGAAAATTAAAACAAGACGCTGACCATGATAAAATCAAGAAGTTTCAGCCCCCGTACGGGAGCCTTGTTCACAAAATTTGTGCCAGAGTAGTCCGGTTATGTATGCTATAAAATGTGATATAAATAATGTGTGGAAAGTTTCCATCATTTCGACTTTGTGGTTGCCATTGTCTGGATTGTAGTTGATTCGAGATGACCAGTTCTTTTCTCTTTCCGTTATTCTTGCGTTATCTCAGTCTGTTTTGTATCCAGATGTTTCCTCGTGTTCAGCCAGTGCGTTCTATGAGACCTTCTTTTTTACGTCATACATATGCTGTTTTAGTCTCTCCGTCAGAAAATGCAGCAATCATACGCCTTCGGAGCAATTCCAAAATTGTGCTCCCTGCAGACAAAGGCAATGCTACAGTGCTGCTTGATAGTGCCGCCTACGATAACAAATTGATGGCTCTGCTTTCAGACAGTAGCACGTATGAATACCTTAGAAAGGGCCTTACATCATAGCTGCAATGGGTATTTCAAAAGCTTTTTTCCAACGTATTCTGTTGCGTTCCACTTTAACACAGGTTTCTGTACTACTCCCTCCTGTGGCATAATGGTTATGCGCCAACCTTGTACGGATTGCCCAGGACACATAAGCCTGAGGTTTTAATGCGCCCCAATGTAGATTACACTCGCTCGCCCATACATAAGCTGTCCAAGGTACCTGCACCGAGTGCTGCGACCAGTTATCGCCAGAGGCAACTCTTATACGTCAGCCATTCCGGTGACTTCTTAAGGTGCGCGACATCGCCCACAAGGATGACGACATCCTGATGTCGTTTTACGTCCAGTCTTTACTCACCAGCATGCCTACGGGCTTGGCTGTTGACGCATGTGTCTCAGCCCTAAAAACTCCTACATTGTTTGAGCGTAGAGCAATTAAGTCTCGGATGTGCGGCGCTTCTTGACGTTTTGTTTCAACAACCCGTACTGCACGTTCGAGGGTTGCTTTTACAAGTGCCGAGGGTTGCTTTTACTCAGGGACACCAATGGGTGCTGTCATCTCAGCAATGGCAGCAAATTTGACGATTAAACGTCTTGCACAACGTGCACTCAGTTCGTTTTGTCCTGCGCACCCAAGACCTTTTTTAGGTTATGTGGATCAAGCGTTCGGCGTAATCAAGGAGGCATTGAATGCATTCACTAGACACATGAACGATATGAATGCAGAAATCAAGTTTACGGTAAAAGATGAGCAGTACGGTTAACCTCCTTTCCTTGTCAAACACGAAGGAGAAGGCATGTCATTCAGCGTATACAGAAAGAGCACCTAGACAGGATGCTATTTACATTTAAATTCGTGTACCTGGTTTCTCACAAAAGGTCTGTGGTCGCCTTGCTTGTGAATCGCGCAAAGAGAGTTTGCGAAAAATCAGAGGACTTGACTGCCGACGCGCAGCATGTGCATTGGTATCTCAGGAGAAAGTGGCTACTCTCACTTGTTTGTGCACGCTGTGGAACGTCACCTAGCATGTTCTGGTGACTAGAGACTAAGAAAAGGTGCTTAATTCTCAGAGAAAGTAGCTACCCTGTCTCGTTCGTACACTCTGTGGAACGTCAGCTAGCACGTTCTGTCAACTGGAGACTAAGAGAACGAGCTTAATTTTGTGCCATATACTGCTAGTATCAGCAAGCACCGTGCGCGGGCTCTACGCCCCTACGATGTGCAGGTAGAACACGTGCCAACAAACAAGTTGAGGCATTCCCTTGTAAGGGTAAATGACAAGCTGCCAAAAGAAATAAATTCGCAGCATATCCATGGAGTGAATGATGATGAGTGGAGCGAAGCGTCCGTCCGCGCGTCTGTTTGGCGACGAGCACGAGCCGTCGCGGCCCTGCACACCCGCCGCTCCACTTCGCCCATGCTCCACTAACGATAGTACGCGTGCGGTGACGATCCAGGAGACTGAGAGGCAGTCGTTCCTTTTCCGCGCACCCAGGCACAGCCCGCGCAGCAAACAATCGGAGAGTAGTGGTACAACGTCATCTAGAATATCCTACTCAACTGCAGTTTGTACTTCTATGAGACAGCGCCATCTATTATACTCTTCGGGAGATACTGCCGGTTACGCCTGACGCGGGACAAGCTTAGACTACGAGAAGGTCCGTTCCTAAAAAAAAAAATCCAGGCGTTGTCTACGGCATCTAGTGCGCAGACTGTAGTGGCAGTCACATTAGCGAGAGTGGCAATTTTCCCGCCAAGACTAAAACAGCATATGTACGACGTAAAAAGAATAGGTCTCGTCGAACGCGCTGGCCGAACACGCGGAAACATCTGGACGCAAAGCAGAGTTGGATGACGCAAGAATAACGGAGAGAGAAAAGAACTAGTCATCTCGGCTTTATCTCGAGAGAGAAACAACTTTTATTGAAACGGCAAGTGTTAGAGGAGTTGACTCCCCCCCTTAGATGGCAGCTAGGAGTCCTTGGGCCCTAGCGGCATCTTCGGCTTGCCTGATGACCTGTAGTTGGTCCTCGATGCTTGAGCTTAGCAGCGCGGTCTCCCACTGCTCCGTATTCATGTATGTGTTTGGCCCCTTCACGATGTTGGGGCAAGCCCAGATAATGTGTTTGAGGTCCGCCCGCTGATTGCAGGGTTTACATCTGTCTGAGTAGAGGTCCGGGTAACAATGATTATAAGCGATTGGGTTTGGGAACGTGTTTGTTTGTAATAGGCGCCACGCTGTCGCCTGCTGCTTATTTAATGAGGAGTGTGGTGGCGGGTAGTGCTGCCTCCCTAATCTGTAGTGCTTGGTAATTTCGTTGTAACTGAACATGCGGTCTCTCTCCGCACGCGGGCTCCGCGTCATTCCTGCCCCTGCTCGGCTCGCTAACTCTCGAGCTAGGGTGTGTGCGGTTTCATTGCCCGGGAGGGAGGAGTGGGCGGGCGTCCATATAACATAAACGTCGCGCTCTCCGCGAAAGTTATTTAAGATTCTTAACGCCTCTTTCGAGACCCTTCCGTTAGCGAAGTTATGAATCGCGGTTTTAGAATCACTGATTACGACGCTGGCCCTTGTGGACGCAAGCGTCAGCGCTATGGCCGTTTCTTCAGCGATTTCCGAATTTCCTGTTTTAATGGTGCCGCTAGCAAGCAGGTGGCCCGCTTGATTTGAAGCGACTATTGCCATGTGTCGACCGTCTGTATATTCGGCTCGAATCTATCACAATCCAGACTACGGCGCATACGCTCAATCGAAATGATAGAAACTTTCTGCATGTCTACATACGCTTCTTACGTCACATTTTATAGAATACATAACCGGCCTGCTCACGCACGGCCAAGTTAGGTGATCCGCATGTGCAAATGCGAGCTGCTTTGCCGCGTTTCGGTACAAGACGCCGCCGTGACGCGCTTTCCATGACTTCCGCCTTCTAATCTCGGAGGCCAAGCATTCAAAATTTGTTACAAGGAAAAGTTTTAGTCGAGCAGAGCGTGCCCGGCTCGATCTCGCTGCGCGGTTTCGATACCGCTTGCATCGGGGCCTTAAAGATCACTTATGGTTATTCATTGTTATAAGCGGCTAAGTTATTTCTAAAGGCCTGACCACAAGGATCCACTCCAGCGCGTCAGTACGTGTATTTGTCCTTAAGGAGAGGGCGCGGCACCGCGTCAAAAAGCCACGCGCTGCAACGAACGCGTGTGGCCAGGCCTTAAAAGACGTCGGCATGCTATACATCTTGGCGCCCCGCAACTTTAGCTATCAAAGTCTTCTCAAATCAATTCTCGCAGCGCAATGCATATTGTAATTTCGCAGACCCACCGAACTTCTCTCCCCGCTGCGGACTGCAAACCTGAAGTCGTGGGATGAAATCCCGACTGCCGCTGCTGCATTTTCGATGGAGGCGAAAATGTTTGAGGCCCGTGTACTTAGATTTACGAGCACGTTAAAAGGGCCCTGTAACACTTAAGGAATCCGTCCAGTGCGAGTGGAGTTAGTTTTGTCGCATGCTGCAATTTCATTCTCTCGTCCCGACGAACGCGCTGAAAGCTAAGCAGGGCGGGATGACTAGGGCAAAAAAAATATGTAACCCGTGCCTCGTGACCTTGAGCACTTTTTCTTCGAATGCGCGGCTTCGTCAGTGTGATCGCGCGGACAAGTCGTGGCCTCCCGCGGCGATCTTTGTAACGACCGAGTGCGCCATGTTCAAATCAGCCAATAGCTGATAGATGGGATTTCTGCGAGTGATTTTCAAGCGTCTTCCGTCATTTGTCGACAGAATATAAAGCATTTTTTTTTGCCGACTTTTATCATTTATTGTGAATTTCAGGCCGCGGGCTGTGCTATAATATTTGGCTCGTGTGTTGTCGAGAGCCTCTACTACCGATCGGCAGCGTTTTCTGACCATGCTCAAAAAGTGGTAAAAATTTCCGGAGGCCTCCACTACGGCGTCTCCCATAATCAAATCGTGATTTTGAAACGCAGCAGATATTATTATTGGTATTATAACCGAACTCGTCATTCGTTGTATATATAAATACATCTTACCTTTCTTTGCTGCGCAGCTCATTTTGAAGGGCTGAATTCTCTCTACGGAGAATCCTCCTGTCCCTGACTTCTTCCCTCAAGTATCTCAGTTGCGACCTCAGGCGGCCGTTCTCGCGCATCATGTTGACGTACTTTGAGTTGTACGTCCGCGCGACGCCTTCGAGTCGACGCACGTTGCCGCGTAGCGCGTGGGCCTCCTCAGCCTGTCTCTTCTCGACAGCAGCGGCCTCTTCCAGTTGTGACCTGGCCACGCATAGTTGACGCTGAATTAGTCGCAATGGGCCACCCTCGTTCCTAATGCAACCGTCGGGCAGCAAGTCCGCCCCGTCCAGAAAAAGCTTCACGATCTTTTCGTCGTGGAGCTGCTTGCGACAAGTCGGGCAGCTGTTGGACGTCGTCAGCCAGCGACGCAGGCAGACGTCGTGGAAGACGTGGCCGCACTCGGTAGCGCTCACGCTGTTGCCGTCGCTGCTGCTGCTACTGGCATGAATGGTCTCCATGCAGATGCAGCAGCTCGGTCGCATAGCGCGACAGGCTTTGGCGACGATCAGGTCAGCAGACCCACTGGGTCGGCGGGACCGTCCAGAGCGCTCAGCAGCGGCTGACGGTTGGACGCCGAACCTAGCGGGCCAGTTTGAAAGAGAGCGCGTTGCCGCGCGCCCGTCGCGACTTCGTCGTTTTTTGCTTGGCTTGTGGGGCACGCTTCTCTATCACCTTCGTCGAGGTTCCATATATGTGGCGTTAGATGTGAGCTGCTAACCAACAGCAGCTAATGACAGTAACCAATAACGAAAGCAAGGATTCTCTCTGACAAAGAAACGAGTCCTTGATTCATGCCTTTTCGATTAACCAAAAGGAGTAACTGCGACACAGTTGCAGCAGTCTGGAACCATGTTATAAGCTCGCCCTCGTCGCTTGGACAGAAAAATTTTCTTTTTGTCTGGAAGGTATACCTTCCTGACATATATATGTAATGTGCTCAACACTTATGATAACACACGGTAATCCCGGCAGCAGGTAAGTCTTTTATGATAAAGACTGCGGCCAGTCGTTTGGATGAAGTCTTCATAGGCCATCATCGTCGAGAGCCTAATTAATTTTGTGACGTGCTACGTGGTCAGGCATTTTAACTGGTTTTTACATTACGACAATTAATAGCGCAGCGCGGAAAGTTATTTTTGAAAGTCGAACTTCCTTTGTCCACCATCGGGCTTCGGCTGCTGGTGGCTGGTCGCGGTTATCGCCGAGTTCATGGTACAGAACAGTGAGAGGGTTTGAATTATGATGCTCGTCTGGTGCTTCGAACGAATCCCGGCCGCGGCGGCCAAATTTTGATGGAGTCGACACGCTGAAGGTTCGTGTACTTAGCTAAGTACAGGCGGTCAAAAAAAAAAATAATTTTCGTAGCCCTCCACTACAGCGTCCTACATAATCATATCGTGGTTTTGTCGCGCCATGGTGGTCTAGTGGCTAAGGTATTCGGCCGCTGACCCGCAGGTCGCTGTATCGAATCCCGGCTGGGGCGGCTGCATTTTCGATGGAGGCGAAAATGCTGTAGGCCCGTGTACTCAGATTTGGGTGCACGTTAAAGAACCCCGGGTGGTCAATATTTCCGGAGCCCTCCACTGCGGCGTCTCATAATCATATGGTGATATTGAGACGTTACACCCCGCATATCTATCTATATCGTGGTTTTGAGACGTTGAACTGCAATAATTATTACTTCAGCACCACCCGTTCGGTGAGATCGAGTTGCGAGCACGAAAGGCACGACTGATTGCACACTAGGCCATCGTCGGTTGAGCCGAAATCGCGGCTGAAATCATCTGATTTTGGCGCGCTGATGCGATCATAGCACCGGAGCTCTCCACTATGGCATCTCATAATCATATCGTGTTTTTGCATTGTAAAACCCCACATATGATTATCATAAACACGTGAAGCTACAGAAATAAAAAAAAATCACCTGGGAGTGTGATGGTGCGCATGCGCTCGTATCCGATGGTTTTTGGCTTTTCCATGTTATCTTTCTGTAAAAAAAAAAAAATCAGTTTATGTCTACAGCCCGTCTTTTGTGGGTGTTCCTTGCTTGTGTATGCATGCGTGTGGTTTTTAGCGCTACGAGTATGATTACAAGTGACTCAAATCGACTAGCCACTGCAGCATCACCGCCATGACTGCTCTATTATTGCGATCACGCCTGGATGGGTAGCGTCGCATAACAAATGTATTGAAAGGCTGCACGACTGGCCACGGGTCGCCACGCCAGGGATTGGAATACCGCGGTGGAGGCTACGGTATCCCAATCCCTCCCGACTTCCTTTAGACATCCCAACCAGTGTTAGTACTGGTCGCAGTAAAAGGTGTGCGTACGGGGCAGGTCAACTTTTGAGATGTGTTTAACGAAGCTTTCATTGGGGCAGGTTCCAAGGTATACGCAAACTGGTAGCGTAACTGCCATAGAAGCCCATGCATTCAGTCGTCGGCGGCTCGTTGCCACCCCCGCTAGAGTGGCTGTATATACAGTATACTCTAACCGTCGCCATCTACGTACGGAGGGGACAACTAATAGCAAGCAAAAAATTTATTTAAAATATGACGTCACAACCGGAAGCGGTAGAGACTTGGTACATCTGCCCTACATGGCGCGAGATTGAAAATTTTCTTAATCGCTGACCTTTTTTTTTACATGCTTTTTTTTTATAAATACACCATCTTATTTGCGCCTTTATGGCTGGCCAAACGCGTGCGCGAGAGAAATAAAACAAGAAATATTGAGAACACCAAATAGTGCTCTTCCAATACAACAAAAACTTTGCAGATAAAGAAATTGCGGCAGCGGGACAGCATCCTTGAGAATATCACTTTGGAGCGTTTCGTTTCTTAGCGTGTCGCATTCACCGTCACGAAAGGCGAGGGCATGCCGGCCGTGCGCCAGTGAAGGCAGTTACAATAGCGGATATCTACACATTGTTCAGCTCCGAAATGCCACCCCAGGGAACAGCACATATAGCTCCGCCGCGGTAGTCTAGTGGCTAAGGTACTCGGCTGCTGACCCGCAGCTCGCGGGATCCAATCCCGGCTGCATTTCCGATGGAGGCGGAGATGTTGTAGGCCCGTGTGCTCAGATTTGGGTGCACGTTGAAGAACCCCAGGTGGTCGAAATTTCCGGAGCCCTCCACTACGGCGTCTCTCATAATCATATGGTGGTTTTGAGACGCTAAACCCCACATATCAATCAAATCAACACCGCACATAAGCAAATAAATAAACTACGGAAGGATACGCACGAAACCACCACGCAACGTGCGATGCCTCGTTGACCCGGCAACCCGCCGCACTAAACACAAGTCCTCCATATTAATGTCCCTAGAAATAACTAAACTAGCGCCATTCGTGTCGCCGCGCAGGCTTCTCCTCTCCACATTGCTTGGTAGCCTTCATAGAGCTTCATACAATAATGGTAGCATTGCATTGGTAATGCAAGCGCCATATTGTTTATTTGCTCCCTCCTTTTCCTGCCGAATTGGTTTATTTAGGGATTTTACTGCAGATTGCCTGGAAACACCTCATGCAGCCAAGTGTAAGACAAACTGTAATGTAAATTTATAGTGATTTTTGGCACATACAAAATTAGGAATATTATGTTGAGTTCTTGGTTTTAGAAATTTGTCCCCTCCTCACCTAGTTGCGCTTCAGTCGTCAGATGGCGTTGATGCCTCTGGCGATGAGGGAGAAAGGGAGTGATAATGATGGTAACGATGAGGGAGTGGTAATGAGGGAGATAGGTTAGATTTCAGATTCAGTAAAGAAAAATCAGCAGTCATGATTTTTAATGATAATGAAGATTGTGAGCTTAGGATACATGATGTCACGCTAGAGATGACAGATAAATACAAATATCTGGGCGTATAGATAAGCAATGGGACCGAGTACCTAAGGGAGCACGAAATATACGTGATGACTAAAGGTAGTAGGAATGCAGCAGTGATGAAAAATAGCGCACTGTGGAATTACTATAGGTATGATGTGGTAAGAGGAATATGAAAAAGGGTCATGGTTCCTGGGCTGACGTTCAGCAATGCGGTCTAGTGCATGAGAACAGAAGTTCAAGCAAGATTACAAATTAAGCAACGTGGAATAGGTAGGCTTGCTTTAGGAGCTCACGGGAATACACCAAATCAGAAAGTACAAGGTGATATAGAATGGACATCATTTGAGGGCAGGGAAGCTAGCAGCAAGATCAAATTTGAGAAGCGATTGAGAGAAAAGGGGGAGGAGCGTTGGGCTGGGAAGGTTTTCAGCTACTTGTACATGAAGAATGTCAATACAAAATGGAGGAAGCGAACCAGGAAATTGACTGGTAAATATTCGGAAAACAGCAGGTGGCCAAACCAAAAAGAACTATCGGTTAAGAAGATAGTGAAGGAAACGAAGACTGACATGTGGAGAATAAGCATGATTAAGAAGTCCGCACTAGAGATCTATCGAACTTTTATGCAGGAAATTGCCAAGGAAAGGATCTATGACATTACTCGGGGTAGTTCTCTACTGTTTGAGGCCAGGACGGGAGTATGCGAACCAAGACATATTGGGCCAAATAGAAAGCGGTAGACACGGTATGCAGTGCATGTGGAGAGGAGGAGTAAACTGCCGAATACATGATAATGTTGTGTAAAGGGCTTCATCCTATAGTTCAGTATGATGGTGCAGAGTTTTTCAAAGCACTGTGGTTTACGGACAGGGAGGCCAAAGTAGACTTTAAGCGGGTAGAATTAACTAGAAGAAGGTTATCTGATTGGTGGCTAAAGTCCAGGCACGAGTGAAAATTAAACCTTTCACTGCAAAGTACCAGTCCTCAACTTCACTGTGTAAAAGGAAAAAAAAAGATAAATCTAGTGATTAATTCACTAAGTATTACGGCTAGGTGGCATTAGCCGCCGCCCGATCTAAAGGGTATAGCCACATCTATCCATCTATCCATAAGTTTTCGACACTTTTTGTTCCAAGTTTCGCGACTAGTATAATTTGACCATGCAGGTTCTTTAATCGGTAATGGCACCATGTTGATAATGACGAAGCAGCGCCGTCTAGCGAGATCACGTGACATCATGAAGTTGCCGCTAGATTTTACGCTTGATTGGCGAGACCACGTGACTTGCTGGTTCATCCAATAATTTTTGCCGGATGCCTTGTGATGTCGTGAATTTACCACTAAATTTAAAACGCGTGCACTCACGTACACCGAGAAACGCAGAGCCCAATCTTATACATAAGTTTGTGTCGTCATGCAAAAACTATCCCAACTGTGGTGCTAACGGCGATGCCAAGTTAGCCGGCTTTGTTGCATGCCTAGGCAGGCGTGTATCTACGCGCTTGCACGGTGTTTGCTGCTTTGTTTCACCAATTGTTTCTGCAAAGCACCGCAGAGTGCACCATTCTTGCACAACATTGCACAATAATTTATATTTGTGGCATAGGTGCGCTAGCGTCGTTCCAGGATGTCGCCATCTTGGCGGTTTCGGCAGTTCAATGCGCTTACGGTGACACTGTGGAGCTATTTCTTTTCTTGGTGCACCCGCAGACTGAAATAAATTTAGGCGCATGCGCACATGGGTTAGATAAACCTGCACGATAGCGCCACCCGGAGAACGTGCGTCTGTGCGGCGGCGTAGACGCATTCGAACTTCAGGACGCTTAACTCCGGATGGATGGATGGATATGGCTGTACCCTTTAGATCGGGCGGTCGCTAGCGCCACCAAGCCGCAATACTTAATGAACCAAAAACTGGATTTATTTTTTTTCCCTTTAAATAGTGAGGTTGAGGATTCGTACTTTGCAGAGAAGGGTTTAATTTTCACTCGTGCCTTGACTTTAGCCACCAATCAGATAACCTCCTTCTGGTTAATTCTACCCGCTTAAAGTCTATTTTGCCCTCCCTGTCCCTAAACCCCAGTGCTTTGAAAACCTCTGCGCCATCATCCTGAAACTATAGGGTGAAGCCCTTTACAGAACATTATCAAGTGTTCGGCAGTTTATTCTTCCTCCCCACACGCACTGCATACCGTGTCTACCCCTTCGTATTTGGCCCGATATGTCTTGGTTCGCAATACTCCCGTCCTGGCCTCAAACAGTAGAGAACTACCCAGAGTATTATCATAGATCCTTTCCTTGTCAATTTCCTGCTTAAAAGTTCGATAGATCTCTAGTGCGGACTTCTTCATGCATGCCAATTCTCCACATATCGGTCGCCTTCCTTCACCTTCTTCTTAACCGATAATTCTTTTTGGTTTGGCCCCCTGCTGTTTTCTAAGTAATTACCAGTCAATTTTGCAGTCAACTCCAACGCGATGTTGAAAAGTATTTACCAGTCAATTTACCAGTCAACTCCAACGCGATGTTGAACTGCTCCCGCACTTCGACTTCACTGACAGAAAGGACTATCTTGTTCACGCGGCAAGTTTTTGTGTCACGTTAGCAAGTAAAAGCTTACAAATCCATGGAGGGTCACAACTAATTTACGAGCGCACGGGCGCAGCAGCTGGACGTGAAGGTTTTCCCAAACAGCACGATAGTGGTAGCCGGAAATGTAAACAGACTTCCGAAGTGACTTTGACAAGACGAAAAATGAAGAAATAAGCGCAGTTCCGTTACTGCCTCTCTCGATGGAGGGCACCTCCACTGTAAACAGACTTCTGTCGTCTACTTGTAATCGCGCTTGTGGTGCCCGTGCGAGCGCTGTGTCGATACTGCAAACACGGTAATGGGAATTCATGACTGTAAAGGGATCACAGCGATTGCTGCTGTGGCTGTTTAATTCTCAACAACCGCCGCGCACCGTTCTCATGTGTAGCCGATCGAGTGATCGCAGCTATTCAGTTCTGCCGTACAGCACTATCGCTGTTGTCGGAACGGTGAGCCTACTTCCCGTATATTTCTAATCGAGTTTCTGTCGTGCTATGGCGCCGGTGAATCTGGTAAACACTGCAAGGGGATGACGGCGCAGGAAGTCTCGGTGGTTACTGCGCCGAAACCACTCCGTCCTCCACCGGGCTTTTTATCTGCAGTTTTCCGGAATTGACCTTTCAGCACCTTTGCTACAAAAAATAGACCTACAGAGGCAACATTGTGGTACCCAGGCTTCGTTTTCAAGCGGTTGTTTCAACCAATTACGGCACAGTTCACTGTCGCCGCAGCTGGATGACATGCAACTAGGGCACGTAGAGCCTCTCCACACACGCAAATAAACTCGTTCAAAGACGTTTCGCGTAATAAATACGCACTGCTCACAAGACACTGCTTTGTGTGAGTTAAGGAGGACGGCAAGCACAGCGTAGACCCTCGACTCACTTCTCTTACTTCACACGGGCAGTGACGACAGAGAGCGCACACAGTACGTAGCCCGGTAATGCACTCGCGAACGAACGGACCGCCAAGATGGCGTCGCTGTCCGGCGATGCTATCGCCACCTAACGGATCAAAGTTCAGTGCATACTCGCTATCACTTACTTTATGGGCGGGTAGTCGCCAATCACCAGGTATGAGCACGAAGCTGCAATAGTACAACTTCTGTAAGCTTGTACAGCTCTGAAATGTCAAGTCTATACCTATAGGGGGTATGCACTTGACTTCACCCGCGAGGATCGCTAGCGTCAGGGCCGCCATTTCGAAGGTACACGCGCTCGCCACGCGCGCATAAAATTCGCTGCGCACGCTTTGTTCGAAACCCCCACAGCAAGTTGGATGCTTAGAGACATCCGGAACACTTTCTGAACACCGAAAACGTGGACAGCAGGACGGCACGTAGAAACGGTTCCTTCAAAACGGCGCGGTGATGGTGTTGCTGTCTTGCTGATCTTAGGCTCAGTGCATACCCCCTAAACCTAGTAATTGCAGGACAAAAACAGAAAACACCATGATTCTAGAGAGGAGTAGATAAGTATTCCATCGGTTGGTTAAGCGTGAGTTACACCTCATAAATGTAGTGATGATAGTGACCTTGACATGGCAAAAAATTATCTCTTTCTCAAGTAGCACTGTTTCAAAATAGAAATGCACAAATGGTGCTTTAAAACATGTGAATCATAAGTATACAAATACTGACATACCATTTATTTTCATGCTAAGTATATTTTTTATAAACGAAGAGGCATGTACACAAGTGTCAAAATTAATGTAAAAATGTGAAGCTTAAGTTCATTTACTATTACACTTTGGTATCAACATAAGAAATCCCAATACATGTTTGCTTATAATATAATACAAATTTATACAAAACAAATTAAGCCAGCAATGGCGTATGTGAGACCCAACTTTGAACTTAAAATTTTTTCAGCGATGGCTTTGATCCGACTATATGCTTTGAATGACCACCTAGACCATTGTAGCCCGTCCTGATGACCGACTTGAATGAGTCTGTAACAGCAGGTGGACGAAAAAAATTTGCTTTTCGTGGCAACAGCGGTTCCCTTGTTGGCGTTGCACCATCTGGAGGCTTCGAATGCCAAGCCGAGGTCACGATCTGAAAAGAAATTAGTTTCACTTACAACATAGATTCCCTTACCACGCCAGTAGTACAGAAGAAAGTAACCAAAGAATTTTAATATTCAAGTGACATAGAAAGGCTGGCTCACTAAATAACAGGAGCTGTCGTCACCTCACTAAATTTGCATAAAGTGCGCGGCAGACATCTACCAGCTACATTATCTGCTCCCTTCTATATAAGACAACTTCAATCTATGACTGCTGGTTTACTAATCCCATCTCTCTATATGCAACTCTATGCCACCTTTGACTATTTCAGTCCAGCCTGGCACTCATTTGGGTAACAGACCAGCGGTTATGTGACATTCTACTCACATCCTGACCTGTGCATAGGCTGCCTATGTCTGTTCATGTTCGTGCTGCTACTTTCTTACACTTTGACCATAAACAGTGTGCAGGGTTCCCAGTCAGAGAGAGGGGAGGAGGTTCATTGCAGCACCCCCTTACCGTGTCAATGCATAGAGAAGACTGAACTCTCCCTCTCTTAGGTGAACAGGGAGGTAGGCCGCACCCCTGTGCACACACCTATTGTTTTAATGTGATTTCCAACAGTAGCTGAACGATCCTCATTTTCCTTTTAAGTCTTACGTTATCCCCCAAGTTTGCCCTCTACAAGATAACATGCATTGACAATAGGAGTTTTGCCTGTCCTATGTCAACATACTTTAAATGCAAAAGCATTCTTCAAGTGCTCTACCAAATCTGCTTCTCACAATCAGCAGTGCATATAGTAATATCTGGGGTTTAGCATACCAAGACCACGATATGATTATGAGAGACACCATAGTGGAGGGCTCCGGAAATTATGACTATCTGGTGTTCTTTAACGTGTATTGACATCACACAGTGCACAGGGCCCCTACCATTTAGTTTCCATTAAAATGCAACCGCTGCAGGCCAGGATCGAAACAATTGCAGTGCACACAATGCAACATGCTTACACGAAAGTTAGGGTTCTCTCGAGGACAGTACACACAGAAGCGCATAAGCCATGGAAACATGAAGTCAAGTGCAATAAAATAGAAAAGGCATCAATGCATTAATCATATAACTAACATGCTTAAATAATATTGTTTGCAAAAAACTTCTGGTATGAAGCTATGTAATGGTAAGATGAGGCTCTCGAAAATATCTAGGCAGACCTCCAAAAAAAAAGTAACATATTAGCGTCAGGCGACAACATCTGCACAAATGCGCTGCGTGGTTAGTATTCTTACAGTTTTGAAACAGGGGTTGAAGCTGTACAAATTTTATTTAGTAGAACTTTAGGTGGCAACCAAAGCAGTTGAAACTATGCATGCACACTAAGTAGAAGTCTGGGTTAAATGGTTCACACAAAAAATTTCAGCTATCATTCTTTTTTTTTTTTTTTGCATCAAATGATAGGCTAAGCCCTCAAGAACATAGAAAATCTACTGGTAAGCAAGAGCGCACCCAGGAAAAGTAATTACAGTGTGTTTCTAAAAGCTAGTTTTGGTTCTTACTGTACCCTTGTGTCACAACACGGTATGAGCTTCTTGTCACATGCTTATGCAACATATGATGTTTCTACGGTCAATTCGCACTGCGGTGCCGTTGATGACGCAGAAGCGACCATTTTGAACGTTTTACTGACACACAAGCGGCCATTCTGGGATGTCCCCACGGCCAGCCAGATTGATACGTGAAGTCACCAGAATCAGTACTGTATGTAGCCTTTCGTCAAGCTAGTGCTGACTGTCGATAGGTGCACCATGAGAAAATTGACTCTAGTGTCAAAATAAAATGAAGCTTGAAACTTGCTCAGTGCTGTCTCAGTATACAGGAGATTTGCATAGCATAGTGAATTCACCATGGAGAAATGATGTCAGTACCCCTTTAAGATGCACAATATTAATCAAAGTGGCTCTCAAGCTTACACGAAGAGCTGGAGAGGCAACACCCGGAGAAGGCGTTTCTTCTGGGTTTGTCAAGCGTGGACGTTTCAACCGTTCAGGTGCTGGGCTGCATGTAAAAAGAAAGAAATTGAGTTGTCATACTTAAGGAAAGTAATTGAAATCATAAAACATGATCAATGACTTCAATGCTGGAATTAGGCTGCCAGCTAAGCATTTTGCACATTCTTGCACAAAATGCTAGTCACGTTTGATGCAACACACTTCAAATGCTCTAAATATAAACATTTCGACAGAGATCTGTCTGGCTGGGTTAATGGGACTGTTTACCGTCCTTCATTGATTTTCTGTTCTGTATTGTAATAGAAGTTGCACAGAGTTGCGCTCTGCTTGCTGTGCAAGAATAAAGACCAATCAAGAAAAGGCATATCGTCTAAAGTGTCTAACCTTGCAGTAGTTTTTCTAGAATGTGAGTAAAAATTTTTGAGACAGAACTTTTTTATCGGTGTTCGGTCTTATTCATTGGTGTAGGGGCACCCACAACACTCGTCGGTGGACGCATGACAATTATAGTTCCGATGAAAGTCGAATACTGAAAACAAATGCAGTTCTTTCAGGCTTCGTTAGGTTTTGTTGAAGAATAAAACAAATGCCACAATGGTTATTTGAAGCATGCAAACCAAAAATTAAGGTATTATTACCAAAGTCTATCAATATTTGCTTAGTCAGCCTGAGAAACCACCACAGCTGAGCAGAAAACTTGGTCTGTTCGAGCAACACTGGTGCGGCGGTGTAAAAAGAACTGTAGTGTTCCACTCTGCAACTAAAACGAGCACGAGACGTGCTTCACAGAAGAACAGAAGGTCCCTTCTGTTTTTTATTTGTGTTTGGAGTTCTGTGTTGCATATGTGACATCACAGCCAACACAAATGCTTTGGTGAAGTGGAATCTGAAGGCAAAATCTTCTTCAATGTAGATCATAGATGAATAGTGGTATGGACTTTATGCACGAGGACTGATGGGCATGGTTTGATAATTCCTTGAAGTTAGTCACGATGCTCTTCACCTAAGACATTTATTTCCCCTATGAGTGGCGCCGGTCGCCTGTGCTCACATTTCTCTGTTACAGGCAGGCAGGTGAAAGAGTCATCAGGCAGTGGCACCGAGCGCCTTTTTTTGAACGTATACAAAAAAAAAAGCAGAAATAACTCTCCGACACAAAGGAATGCAGCCAAAGGGGCATAAAATACAATCTGAAGTTATACATATTCATTTTTAACAAAATAAGTCTACCTGCGAGAGTTTCTCGCTCCTACCAGTAGATTAAACCACATTGCTGTTGGGTGATGCTAACGGTCTCACCTTCACGACATTCAGAGCTAAATTAAAAATACAATTCATCTTTTATTAAGCAAAAGCATGCTTGTAACCACTAATGTGACAAACATTCTTCAAATTTTCACCCACGATAAATTTTTTTTTTCAGAGTTGTAGACAGTCCCTTTAACGTATTCCAAAAGCTAAAATGGCTCCAATTGAACACCGAATCTATAACCAACACAGTCACCCCCTGAGGAAGGGACTGAACAGGCTCCGAAACCTTGGGGTTCATTTAAAAAACTTCTAGTTTTAGACTTCAGCTGCATGTTCTTCCTAGCAGCCTGTACTTCAGGATATTGTAATAGCTGCTCAAGCCTTGCCCTTTGCTGGCAAATAGTACAAAACTTTTGCACTTGCACGTAATGTTTTTTCGTTTCAATGCTGCTAACAGATGGATTGTGAGCGAGTAAATGCATGAGATGATCATGCTAAGGTGTTGAATTATGGAGAGAAGACCCACCTGTAGGCTTTATAAAGACAAATTGTCACTTTTCAAAGAGAAAGACATAACAATGATGCATGCTGATAGCACAAATGACGGGAGGGGATAGAAGAGATGAGACAAGCACTCTTTATCATGTTATACCAACACACCCAATCCTACTCTATTTAGGCATGCTGCTAGTGTCAGGTACAAGATACTTGCCAGCAGTCCACTGTGGAATAGGTTTTATGCCATGCACTGGCTGTACAGCAGCCAATGAGGATATGTTATCATGACCAGGTATTTTTTATTAGCATAATAAATGAGTTTAACAATGTCAAAGGAAAGGCAACAGACCAGAACTTTTCTGTGCGAAACAGCCGAGTTATATACGAAGAAATGATATGCTGACATAACTGGCTCTGCTCTGGTGAAAAATTAAGAAACCAAAGCTTTGAATTTCATCTCTTCCTGCAATCAGCTTTACTGCCGAATGAATGAAACTAAAGTCATGACAATTCTTTATCAGCTTGAACTACATTAGCATTTTAATACATACGTAGTTAATTTAACAGTTGTATTTTTGCCTCTGTAATTGTGGTTCAGAAGCTGGAAGAAAAACATATGTGAAGATATCAACTTAGTTGCCCACCTTTCTGCAATTATGCTATCATTGGCACTTGTGCTCGCAGAAGCGCTGCTCTTCTCTGCTTTCAGTTCGGCTCTGTGGAGCATCTCCTTGAGGTGACTCACGTCCCCTTCCAATGTGCGTATGCGGGCTGCCCTCTCTCTGGACAGAACTTCCAAATAGGCCACCTTCTTACGCAGGTCTAGTGCCTCTTTGTTCAGCTGTGACCGGCTGTCTGTCACAGTCTGCAGTTGGCTGTTACATGAAAAGCAAGTATCACAATGACTATAATTTGCAACAGTTCTTCCTCTAGTAAGCGTGTGAACACCATTAAGTTTAAATTCACTTTGGGCCCTCCACAAGTTAACAAGCGTAAGTAGGCACATTTTTGCTATTGAAATGTGAGGGAACAATCAACGAAGCAGTGGATGCGTCACGACACTATGCCCACCTTTACTGAAGAATGTATGAAATGTCTGCAGTATAAGAAAACCCTTGTACGAAAACTTACGATTTAAATTAGTTGGCCTAGCAAAATATGATTTGCCTGGAGCAGATGGCTGGGTTATTTTTATTGCTTAATTAGTGATTAAAAAGAAAAAGAGGGGTCAGAAAACAGAAACAGCGATAGACCTGGACAGCTTACAGGTCTCACAATTCATTGCTAATGTCCGTGTCAAAGCACTATGCTACATGGCTTGTAACAGTACTACAGCAGACGGAAAATATCAATACATTGTGTTTGAAGAGATCATTATATGACATTAGGACACAGACTCGAAAACATTTATGGTCTAGATCCTCATGATTGGATGCTACGAGCAGCAGCGAGTCAAGGGATGGCGACAGGCCATGGTAGCTCAATTGGGATGATAGAGTTGCAACTGTAAACCCATGTCAAATGTTCCGTTCTCCATTCGGTCTGATTTCCTGCTTATTGATAACTCATTGATTTGTGGTGCTGATTGATGTGTTAGCAATGTCACAAATTTTATTTACAATCACTTTAAAGCAGGTCCAGCACAACGTGTCATCCTGCCCAGTATTTGCAACACTTTCCAGAAAGAAGTAGAAACCCATTCGGCAAAATCTTTTTATATCAATAAAAATTACATAGACGTGCAAGGTACCCCCTCCCCCATCAGTACTGTTACAATATGAATCTCACATGCCCTGCTTGTGCATAGAAGACTAGGTCTCAGTACACATGCAGTGCATCAGTGCAAGTCTGATGAAATTAAAAGAATGCTCTGTCACATCTTGCTTGCTTTGCTCTGATGAAGCCAGGGGCATTACTCTGGCGTTTGCTGCCTCATACACATTATTGTTCCCAAGCAACTTCTGCACACTACATTCAGTGGCTGGTGTGGTACAGTAAACACCACTCAAAATCTATCTAATCTTATCTCTGGGTGCTTGCAAACACTGGTGTTTTTCTGTCAGGCCAACCCCCTATATCACTGAGGTGTGACACCTGTAACACCATTGGGAGCATTCATAATTGTGCCAGTACTGCGACATTTATAGTATATACGAGTGTTGTCCTTACTACAAAACAGTTACTACTTTGCATACTGTGTTGCCTCAAACACTCTTTAAGGACACTCTGAAGAACTAAAGTGCAATGCTGAACCTTGCTATCACTCTCAGGACTTCACTTTGGGGCAAGGCTTGTGTCCTGATCAGCTAGAATATTGAATCCTTTATGTGGTGCAGACAATCAAACTCTTTCTTATTAAATTATCTGTCTTTTCCATATATATTTTCTAGGTCTTTCAGTACACTTTGTTTGAGACAAATTTCACGACATAATACACGTTAACACGTCTTCCTTGAATATGCGTCGATAAAAATGCACGTTTCTTTATCATTCATTATATAATGTAAACATCAGACCTTCGAAAAAGAAAGAAACTGTCACTAGGGCCTTCAAGAAAAGGGAGATTTTTGCCCTAGTGGGCACAGAGTTAAGGTGGTAGTGTAACAACTATAGAAATAAGGTCATCGTCAAACCTTACCGTTTCACCAGGCAACAATACGTCGACAAAAGCTTCAACGCGCCGGGTCCTTCTGCGTAAGACTTGAGAAGCTCTTCCGCTTCCTTTGCATTGCTGTCTATCAGCTTTCTGAGACTAGAAGGAAAACGGTAATTTGTTTTAAATAATATGTGCTGCTGTTGCGCGCACACTCGAATAAGCCGCGTCCGTACGACCGCAGCAGAGGCACCTACCTTTCATAGTCCGTAACTCGAGAGCGCAACGCAATGTTTTCGTCGTACAGCTGGCGCTTTTCTGAAACTTCCTTTCGCATAGACTGTATCTTAGCTTGCAACTGAGACTTTTCGCCGAGGGCAGTCATGTACTTGTCCTTAAACTTCTGAACTTCCTCTTCCCGCTGAATGAGGAAAGCCTTAAGCGTGTCGGCTGCTTCTTGCTGTTTGATCTTCTCTACGTTTGCGGCCCTAAGCTGCGCCTTCGCGTCGTCTAGCTTGTTCTGAAGATCTCCCACGTCAACTTCTTTAGTTTCAGACAGGTTAAAATAGAGCTTGAACACTTGCTTCGGGCGCAACGGCTTCCGGCAAGCCGGGCAAGTCTTGGACATCTCCGTCCAGTGGAGAAGGCACATCTCGTGGAAAACATGGCCGCAACCGGTGGCATTTATGTTGTCGATATTCTCGCTGCTGAAATTGTCCATGCATATGCTGCAGGTAAACTTCATTTTCAGTGGGAAAACTAAGATCAACTCCACAATGTAAAAGGCGCGCAATGCTCGCGCTACATTGCACTTTCGTATTTCCCTGAGTACAATGTTAGTAACCGAAACGCATGTGTCACTTTCCGTACAACTATTTTGAAGTTTTTGAAGCTACTTTTTCTCCAATGTACTAAATAAAAACGTGAATATAAGTAAATGTTTATAAATTTTTAGTTGTTTTTGTTTATACGTTGTTTTTGTTTTTGCAATACCGGCAGTGTTTTAGCAGGCCACTCCATAATCCATCTAGCAACAAAGGTGACCTTTTCGGCCGCTCGTCGAGTTTCTGCAATCCCTCGCTGCTGGAGGCGGCGTGTTCGCACAAACTGCGCTTTCACGCTTAATATTTTAAATTCCGCTACCGAAAGCACAGTCAAGATGATCGCGCGACTCGTCTCTCAAAGGGCGCTGCAGTGTGCGCTGAGTAAGTGTGTTTCGTTTCCCGTGTTCTCGAACTTGCCCTTGTGTATAGCGCAGCGCGTTTTAGTTTCCTTTCGTCCTACAAGCCGGACTTACAATCCCACTTTACGCTGAGCATTTGTAAAAGCTATATCGCGTCTACTAGTATAAATATGCTTCTTGTCGTGTGTATCCTGGCTGGCGAATCTTGGCGCAACCGGCAACGCTTGATGCCCTGTACACAAGTTTTGAAAATCTCTATTATCCTATGCAAGCAGCGTGCGCTGTAAAGAAATTGTAAAAGAGCCTTGCGTGTGGTCCTTTCGTTACAGGACAGTCCCGGAGCGGCTTGCGATCGTACCACCCCCCTGCCGAGTTCAAGCAGGTGACCATGGCCGACATGCCCACCTTCATTGGGCCATGGGAGGAGAACTTCAACAAAAGACAGGCCAAGTTCAACATCCACCTGGCCGTCGGCGTCTCTTTCTTTGTCGTTAGCCTCATTGCTGTAAGCACCCCCGACACTTTAGTGTCATTTTAGGTTGATCATTTCGGTAGTGTTGCTGCTGTCGTTACAGAAAAAGCTACGGTGTAGACGTTCTCCAGTTTTGTAGCTCGTTTCAGTCACGGAGCTAGCAACGCAGCAGTGCGAGCTCGCTATTTATTGTGTGGGCAGGAAGTTGTGACGCTGTCCACGACGGTGGATCAGTGGCTGCTGACCCGAAAGTCGTGGGTTAGACCCCGGCGGTCGCATTTCGGCGGAGGTTAAATGGCTGAGGCCCGTGTGCTGTGCGATGTCAATGCGCGTTAAAGAACACCAGATGGTATGAACTGCCGGAGCCCTCCGCTACGGCGTCTCACAAGCATATCGTGGTTTAGGGATGTAAAACCTAAGATGATATTAGATATCATTTAGTTTTGACGCTTATTAAGTGCCACTACTTTGCACCCAGCTTGCATGTTCAAATGTGCACACGTACAGGAAATGGTGTAGTTTGCCTTCTATTCACATACAGTAAGACGCTTATAACAATGTGTTCAGGACCTTCGTAAAACTAGTGCTTTTTTGAGCTGGTTGGTACATGTTCTCAAAAAAAAAAAAAAAAAACGAGAGAGTGTGAACCACAGGACAAAAGACTCAAGGTGGACGGGTTGTAAGTCTGCGCTTGGTCTGTCTCTGTACTTATGTCCGGTGGTTCGTACTGTTTCTCGCTTTCCATGAACCTTCATAATACTTTGTTGTGCAGGTGAATTCGTTGTCAAGGTTATGCCCCGCAATGGTGGCAGTATAGACAAGGCTTCAGTAATCCTTGGTTATACAAGTGATTTTTATTGTTTAAGCATTTGGCTATATGCCAGTTGAGTGAGCAGGTACTGCTCCCCAAGTGCCTAAAAAGTGAGTATACTTGCACTCATTGTGCTACATGATAGCCAGCTCAGGGGTCCACGTAAGGAAGAGTGAGCATTGCTTTAATGTATGTATTGCCCATTTAAGTTATATATTGTGGGGTTCCGAGGCTGTATCTTCGCCAGAACACCTCAGGGAAGACATGGAGCCAGACCAGGAACCATGTTTATTGCTTGCGAGCCCGGCCGCAACTGTCCACTGCCAGTGGCTGCCGCGTGCCACAAGTGCCCCCACGATTGTCATTGTCCTCTTCTTCCTACGATCAGGGTTCTCGCGGCTGCCGCTCCCATACTTTCCCTCTCCTTTGAAAAAAGTGGGGGAAAATGACGCGGGTGCTGTCACAAAGCTAGCCCGCGCAAATGTCCTGGCTAGCCTTGGCCACAGCAGATCGTACGTGGCCACACATCAGCACAGTCAAGGCCCAGCCCCTCGTGGCAGCTCATGGGCCGCCAGACACAGTAACAGTTCATTCGCACAGTGAAGACAAATCTGCCGCCTCTGAAAGATGGACGCACACCCGAATCACTCAGATTGATGACCACGGTCATCGGCGAGCGCATGATAGAACACTGATGCAGCATCGGTCCCGGCGAGTCGTTGTCTGTTTTAGCCATTGTAGCTGCCCAGACCTTTCACGTGCGGGTGGTGGACACTCCCCCAGAAAAGAGTCGAACGCCTGCCGCCTCAGCAGCCATGAAAGTGAGACATACCCAATGAAACTCCGACTGCATGCGCCTTCGGCGCTGACTTCACCTCTCTGCGCTGTGGGTCAGACACGCTGGTGCAACTGCTCACATGGGCGACAGGTTCCTCCACATGGGCGACAGGTTCCTCCTCGATCGGGTTCGTCTGTTCTGCTGCCTTCTCCAGGGATTCCTGCAGCTGGATCATCTCCTCCAGCCTGGATTGTTTATTTGCTTGCTGCTGCCTTGCCTTAAGCTCCTCCCACAGCAGCTTGTTCTCTCTATCAGCTGAGGCCAGCATCTTGTTCAAGTTTGCAAGTTCTGCCTGCAATGTTTCTCTCTCAACCTCACTCTTCTGCTCACTGTGCTTGAGGATGGTCTCACAGTGCGACGCCAGACTGAGCTGCTTCTCTAGCTCAGAGACCGTTGCAAAAACAAAGCCTTCAGGCTGGCCTTGAGCCCTTAGATTCGCTCATGCTTCTCCTTGCACTCTGTTTCCTTCTTGCTAAGTTTCAAGGTCAGAGCCTGCACTTGACTGGTCTCTCTGTTGCGGTCCTGCTGGGCTTGGGCCTGCTGCGCATGGAAGTCAGCTGCCTGCATTCGCAGCTCGTCTAGCTGTGAGTCTTGGAATTCACGCTGTCGCTAAAAATCTTCATTGCGGCCGCCTTGCATGTTTGATAATTCGGTGTCTCTTTCTAGCAACAGCCCCTCGATCCTGGCACACTGCCGCTGCTGGTCCTTGAGGTGCTGCTGAGCATCTGCAGGCAGCTTCCTCATGCAACTGCACTCCAGCGAGTCCTCGGCCGTCTTTCGATTCAGGTTGAAGATCTCAGCTTCAAGGGTGTGCATTTCTTCATGATGTCTTGGCCTCGAAAAAAAGTTGCTGCAACTCGTCTAACTGCTTTTTCTGGCTGTTTCTCCAGAGCGCCGACCTTGTCCTTCAAGTCAGAAATGTGGCAGTCTTTCTCGTCAATTATTGTGGTTGCCTTAGATTTGTAGACGTCATTTCCGAGACCATCATGTTCATCAGTCAAGTTTCCCAACTCTCGTTTTAACTGGCTGATGCGGGTGGTATGCCGCAATGTGTCCTGCCTCAGACGATACACTATTGCTTCAAGGGCAGCCTTGTTTCTCTCTAGGTCACAAGCACGGACCACCTCGGTGCCATACTCCGATTCATCTGCTGTTACTCTCATGTCCCTGTGTTTCGTTACTATCGGTTTCTTCCTCTTATTCCTCGTCTTCTTCATTGCTGATGCTTCTTCATGCTTGCTGGTCACTTTGTTACTGCTGCGTCAAGGTTGTTGCAGTCACCGGCTGTGTCCTTAACAATCGTGTCGTTCAAGGCCTTGTTCTCACCGTTCATGATCGCTGCCCTCACTCACTCCACAGGGCCGTCTTTTGTCGGGCAAAGTCCCACATGCCGTCAGCGTACTCTCAATGTTGGCGACATCCCATGCACCCTGTCGACACCAGGGTCTCTGCTGCTCCTCCGTGGAGCTCACTTCCCTCCTCTGCGACAATGGGTACGGCCAGAGTAGGCAGCGCGGCAATTTGCTGAGCAAAGCGAGCAAGCTCCTCGAGGGAAAGAAAAGACGCAGCCCCAGCACCCCTCAGGGAAGACACAGTGCCAGACCAGAAACCATATTTATTGCTTGCAAGCCCAGCCGCAAGTGTCCACTGCCATTGGCTGCTGCGTGCCACAAGCGCACCCTGCAGTCGTCATTGTCCTCTTCTTCCTACGATCGGGGCACTCGCAGCCACCACTCCCATAGTATGAAGCCCGCTAAATTCAATCTTAATATGGCAAAACTTATATTGACGTCGCAGGGGCCCAGCAGTGACGGTACTCGGCAACACATCTGGAATACTGCTTCGATCCCGGTCGCAGCGGTCTGGTAGAGGTCTACTAGGCGAAATGTTAGAGGCTCATGTACTCTGCAATTTCAGTGCACATAAACAGAGCCCTGCAAAACTTTTGTATGTTGTCATCGTAAAGCTTCATTAAAGTTTATTGCATCACGAATCACTAATATTTTTAAGATCTGTCAAGTACAGAGTCACATGGAAAATGCGGCACATTTTGAGCGCTTTCTCTCTCCTTTGAAGCACACTGAAAGCTATGCAGAGAGAGTATGAAAAGGAGGGCGATTAGCTAAAACCATTCGTCAGCACGCATCTTAATCTCGGGGGCTTTTTCTTTTCTGGGACGACACAGCTTTGTGCTTATATGGTGAATCAGAATCCACCAAGATGGTCGAGCGGCTAAGGCACTCTGCTGCTGACCTGCAGGTTGCGGAATCTAATCATGGTCGTGGTGGCCACATTTTCGATGGAGTTGAAAATTCTTGAGACCTGTGTGCCTAAATTTAGGTGCACGTGAAGGAACCCCAGGGGGTCGAAATTCTCGGAGCCTTCCAATACGGCGTCCCTCATATTCATATGGTGGTTTTAGGACGTTAAACTTCTACAATTATTATTATTATTACATTGCAAATCAGGTCCATGGTATTCCTGCGAGGTGCTGGAAGGGTCGAGAAAGGAAAATATTTTTTTGTGGCTTCGAGCTACAAATTAGGTGGTTTTCAAGTTTCTTTTTTTAGCAGCTTACTTTCTGTGCGCTTGCGAGTGCGGGCCCATTGTGGCATCCCATGGTGACAACAGTAGTTATGCCACTCACAATACTCTAATCAGCTAATGGCCACGGACTTTGAGCTATGGCATACTTGTCAATAGCAAACAGTGATTTTTATCAGACTTTGTAAATTCCAGGCTGCGTGCTGTGCTATAATGTTTGGCTCTCGTGTTATTAGGAGCCTTAACTACCAAGCGATAGCATTTTCTGGCCATGCTTAAAAAGTGTTGCTGGCTCCCTTTAGAGACCCCTAGGTGGTGGAAGTTATCGGAAGCCCTCCACTATGGCATCTCTCGTACCTCGAGAAGTTTTTGTATGTGAAACCTTATTAACCAGCAAAACTCGTATTATTTTTTAGCAAACTTTTACGAAACTGCTCTAACCATGCCTATCGCACTGCTTCCCACATAATCTAAAACAAAAGTATCTAAGCAATGCGAAGTTCACCTGCGGCAACCTGAAGGGTTAAATGTGATATGACAGTACGATGCACAATTTTAAAGCAATGCAAGCATACTGGAACTGGCCGTACAGTTAGTTGCTTTCTCTCAGTCAAGACAACCAAATTACATAGGGCTGCATAATGGTGAAGCAGTATTTTTATTGAACGACTTGAAATGATTATCCGCACTATGTGTAATGGTGCCTCTGTGGAATGACTGCGACTCTTGTGCAGTGTGTTAATCTGAGATGGTCCTCATTTATATCGATTTCAACTCCTCTTAATTTTAAATGAATGAATGCTTGAACAAATGCAAATGATAAATTGTTGCTACGAATTGAATAGATGGGACGACTTCACTTGCATTTGAAATTTCATGTATCTGCCCACCTCTATTTTAGTTGTTGGATTGCCATAACTTTACCACTTTTTTTTGCAGGCGGCATCCATGGGTACTTTGAGTTATGTCGACGCCCCACCTATGAAGAACTAGAATTGCCTAAGCAAATGTAACTTCTGGGTGCGAGTAATAAAAGTGGAATTGTAACAAGTCAATATAAGCATTTTCTCTTCTTTTACATTGAACCATAAGGCATAGACGTCAAATATGATCCCGTAAAATCTACATTCTTAAGTGAAAAAAATGCTGAGCAAGTATCTTCCTCCCCCCCCCCTCCCCATTGGATGGATCGATGAACTTTATTTGGTCCTTCAGAATGTGCTTTAGCACGTTGCGTATTGCTCCCATGTCGGAACAAAAAGACCAAGTCTCTGTGCTGTGCCGTGGGCCCGATGGACTGCTCATAGCTGTTGTTCGAGTCCAGAGCTTGCAATAGCACCCTCCCAATTGGACGGCGTGATGACTTTCCCACGGCATAACTCTGGGCACCGCGGGAGCATATGTTCCAAGGAACAAGTATTAATAGGCTGTATATTGGGATATTTCGACAGATTTTGGAGGGTGGTGCTTCGTTAGTCCCAGACTAAAGTTCAAGGTGGTGGTGGAAGAGCCACTAAAAATAAAAAAAAAATTGCACCCATGTTTCTATTGAAGTGCTTTATTTTTAGAGCATTTTATAGACAACATTACATGTGCATTCAGTGTACTCATTCTTGTGGTTGTTCTTACACAAGCGATGCTCATCTTGAAAAAAAAAAAAATTATGGACCATCTCCCCAAAGGGAACCATGATGGGAAACCATGATGGCGGGGGAATGCGGTGAGGTGCGTTAGCACGGTGACATGGACAGACAGCATTACACAGGCTAGTCAAAAAGCTGCTTCGCATCTAAAAAAGGGGGCCACAGAGTGGCAGGAAACTTGCTCGGTCATTGGCGCTTATTTCCAATCTCCCAAAAAAAAGCATTGGAAATATTTCCTCAGCATCTTAAAGTAGTAATGTCCTTGATGTTTTATCTAGTCGTGTAGCTAGAACTTTTGTATTCTTGGCATGTCTCATAGACCACTAGTGATGAAAAGTTTTTGGGCAAGAAATTTTGAAGTAGCTAACTTTCGGCAAGGCACTTGTGGGTGTTTTAGAGCATGTTTTGTAAGAACATTCAGTATGAAATTCGATGATCGTCTGCATTTTAATTGGATAGCATCAAAGAGCTCGTTTCGCAGAAATTCCGGCATCGGCGTCGTTGGTTTTGAGCAAAAAATCTTATGCATAATCGAAAAATCGAGAATGATGCAAATAAAATAAATTCGTGAATATTGCCATCATCTGTGAATTCCTGGAGACGACAGTCTTGGAGTAGACTGTCGGTCTGGAGTGAGAAAGTGGAAAGGTGTTGTGGTAGGCTTCGCACACACCAAATAACACAAGTACACTGGCATGCATCTCTCAATGAGGGAGGCACGAACTCTGACCTCCGAGAACATGTGCCTTCCCCCAGTTGATTTTGTGACCACCTGACGCATGCTCAGCCAAGGCACTGGATTTCACATTCCCTTTCTTCTCGCTAGAACATTCTCGCTAGAGAAAATGGACTTTCACGGCGTCCTTATCTCATCGCCCGTGATACAAACCACTCCGCGCACTCTAAACAGGAATGATGATAATCTGCCGTGAGTGCATGTGCGCTGCCTGCATGATATACTCAAATGTCCATAAGGCGAACTGCTTGGCAAGTTTTCATTTCACTTGTGAACAAGGCTCTGGTGTAGGAGCCGAAACGTCTTTTTCTGTGTGTTTCTAACTTTTTACTTTGGTTGGCGCAGTACCTCCAGGTTTTTTACCTTCAACCATGCATCATGCCAACCAGGCAGGCTTCCGTCAAACTTCATCAGCGAGATTCATTTACATTTTCTTTTTTTGCAGTTGAATTTGTATAATTGCAAGGGATCATAAAAGGACTTGCTGTAATTGTAAATGTAAAATCATATTTTCGCACAGAACTAGGTTTTGAACACAAAGCAGATTGTAGACGGTGGATTTCTCACATAGGCCATGTAAACAGCTTTTGCAACCGAAGGTCATTAATAATGTTTGGCCATACACTGGTATTAGTAGGTGGTTTATTTATAATAACCAAACATGATCAGCAACTGATCGGTGCTCCATGGAACAATGAAAGGCTGAATAGGTGAGAGAAAAGGTGGAGTAGTTGTTCTTGAAGGAAACTGAAAACAGAGCTCTCCGAAAACATTTATTGAACAATGCAGCTGCTACATAGAGCAGTGATTTGACCACCTTGGAAACGTCACGACATCCCTAATATTTTGTATGGCGAAAAAATACTGCAGCATTCGGTCAAAGCCCAGACCAAACCCTCCGTGTGGCGCAGATCCATATTTCCGAAGGTCCAAGTACCTAATGAAAAAGCAAATGGCTGAATAAGTGCATCCTGAAGCGTTGTGATAACACAAAGCCCAGCTCCTACAGACATTAAAAGTTCACAAAAAGGAAAGAAAAGTTCTAAAGCAGAATCGAGCTTCTTCAATGCCGCCCCCCACCTCTTTTTCAAAACTTTTTCTTGTTGCTGTTGTTAGTTGGGAAATTATTTTGTGGTCTGTAAGAGGAACACAGCAGCAAGTGAAATGCAAACAAGAAAAATTATCTTAACTCATAGGTGCAAGAAAAATAAATAAAATAAAAGTGTTTCTCAACACCAGCTGCCATACAAGGTCCATTGTAAAAGTAATGTGCATTTTATGGGGAAAATAGATTTATTGATGGGACCTGTACAAATTGGTAATACTTTTCAAAATACTTTCCCCCCTGCATCAATAGACTTGCGGAGACGGTGTTTGCTGCACCTGGAAGGCACTTCAAAAGTCCTCGACGGGAATGTCTAGGTAATGTTGCAACATGCTTTTAAATGTTCTCACACACTCCCAAATGCTCTCCTTTCAGATTTCTCTTCTGTTGGGGAAAGAAAAAAATCGCAGCATATCCACGAAGTGAATGTTGATGAGTGGGACGAAGCGTCCGTCAGTCCGCCTGCGCTTCCATCTATCCGTTCTTGCATCCGTCTGTGCATTCATCCGTGCGTTTGTCTGCACATTCATCTTTCTGTCTGTCTGCTTGTCCGTCTATCTAGTGAACATTCCAGGTACCACCATCTCGCTTCTTTTCACCATATATTCATCATATAAAAGTACCGCCATCCAGCAGACATTCCAAGGACTAAACAAGAGGTGGCTACCTACTACTACGATGACGACTACTACTATATACATCGCGGACGTATGACCCACAGCTTAAGGAGCTTCGCCCCTAAAAACAGTAGCAAAAAGCCAAGTCAAGCTTGTAAGGAGAATAGGGGACCACGGAGGAATCACTCTAGGCCAGGAAGTCGGTAACTAGAAGGACGTGTGACTGGGGGCATTGTCATGGTACAGCTTGAGCGCTTCTTTGATGTCAGCTCTCATGTGCGTAGCCCAGCGTTTCAATCTCTTGATCACCTTCAGTAAAATACAGCGCTGACAGTTTCTTCTTGCGGTAAAAGCTCAATTTGCTGGGTGCTCATTCGACGATCAGAACTCAAAACCTGAGCGCACTAATCCACATTCTAATTGTTTTTCGTCGTTTTTGAGTATCCAGAATGGGGTTTGTCGACGACCTCCTCCCGGCCCTTCTTGAACGCCTTGTGCTGCCCCCTGAACTGTGACCTTAAAATGCAGTAATCTTTGAAGGGCACTTCTTGAAGCATCTGGAATGTTTCAGTTGCGTTATTTCATAGCTTCCCGCAAAATTTGATAGTATATCGCTGTTAAAGCAAACACTCCATTGTGCTGTGTTACAAGTTGAAAATATGTTTCATGTGGAGGCACCTCTTCCGACCTTCACTGCTCGTAGTCAACTGGCGACCGACTACGTTGGAAGAGCATATGCCCCGCCACATTCCCCGACCGGTTTTACTGTGCTGCCATGGATAGTCGCTTCACAATAAAATCGTGCACATGACAGCATGGACGTCGACAAGATTACTTCAAGGGGAAAGGAAGAGGGGGAAGGTTAAAGTGCCCGTTTTGCACTCCCTGCCAACAGACTTTCACTGCAGACCCTTGTTCTGATTAGAATTTTCTCAATTTGCACTTGTTGCTGACTGTAGATCATGAAAATGGACTAAATTATGCACATTTTAGAACATCAACTCGTCCTATATTCAAGTGTCATGAGTACTTCATTGTTATAGCAGGTTGCATGGAAAGAAGGAAATAGGGATGGTGGTGGAACACCTTTGCTGTTGAAGCGACAGCTGCAAAACGGAAGGCCCTCTCTTCCTGCTTATGGCTACGAATTGTGTTAGCTTGTTTAACTTGCAAAGTGAACCTCGCTTCATCTGTGACAGACCTTTAACTACTCTACTTCGTTGACAATATAAGCCAACACCCATGCTTTTACAATGTGCAGCAAGTGGTGGAAGTCTTTCCAGAAGCTAGAGTACACTGCTAGCATTGTTCTTCCAGCTTTTTCACGTACTTTTACCACAAATCTGAATGCAACCACGCTAGCCAGAAAAAAAAAGTGAACTCAAGTGAATGTTCTTTGCACTGTGCATGCTATGGCAACAGTATCTAATTACCTGGAAAGTGCACAGTGCTGATAAGTAAGGGTTAGCTGTGTTTTCAAACGAAAAAAAAGCACCTACACAATGTTCGTCACTAACATAGTGTCCAAGTGTCTTTTATAGAACTTCACAGAAACGAGGAGAGAGCTTTTGTGGGGAACGGAAGTCACTCACTTGTTTATGAGTTTGATGTGGTTTAGGTGCACCTTAATTTTGCATCGCAAACTAGTGAAGTATCGGCAGAAATGTCATAGAAGTGTCTGCAATGCTACAAACATTCAAAGGGCAAGGCAGAGGAACACAGTAATGGCTATGTGTCGAACTTGTATCTAGGAACCAAGACAAGGGCACCATTAATCGCTTGAGTCACTGCATTGCCTCGTGGTGTGTGGGTTCTGCCTTACCAAGGAAAAGCATCGGCGATTCCTAGATTCCGCAGACGTTCCTCGAGAACTGTGTGGTCATCCTCCCTCAGACTCCCACCGCAAAGCTCGCCTCCAAAAGGTGCCAGCAGGTCAAATCCTTCTACCTGTGGGAGCAGGTGCAGTGAGACACACCAATATTAAAGAGGTCACCTGATAAACAATCGCAGCTCGGCTGTACTTGCATCTGACAATGTTAAAAGCAGCTGCTACCAGTGAGTTAATGTGTATGCTCCTGAAGTACCTAGGCGCTCTGGAAGGCCACATCATTAATGCAAAATTAAAATAGTTTAGATAATGTTAATTTCCACGAGTCGTATAAAAATTAAATTGCTGCTTAAACTTGCAACTTCACCCGAAAGGAATGAAAATTGATGAATCATGTTAGTACCACAGTGTTCATGCAGGAGACTTCTTGCATATATGCATAATTGGCACAGCTATGCATGACGTCTCATTTTCATCTACACGAATCAGCAGATGCAATTACTGTCTTCTATTTAACTTGTATATTTCATCAGACAACGCTGCAAGCAACGAATGTTGCACAAGGTGGTGACACCACGACTGTAAAAAACTGCTGAGGAAATGACGGAACAAAATGTACGTGAAGATTTCAAAATAACGAGCACATAAATAAAAAAATTTCAAGCAACAAACAATCGTTTAACTATATGGCAGGAAAATCGCTCAATAGTGGCAGGAAGTCAGTTCTAATCCTCAATGTTACTTGTAAAAAAACTGAATTCAAAACTTGAGAGGAGTCTGTGAGCGTTCATTGTTGAACATATTTCTTGAGAAGACATGAAGTCAAGGCACGTCGAATTTAATTTTTTCTGACAGGCACTTGCAAAGATACGCTAGAGAAATTTTCGTTTGTGTTTGTAGTTCTTGTGCTCACATCATTTGCCTTTGTAAGAAGAGACAGTGAATCTTTCTCTTTACAGTCAACGAATCTGAATCTTACTTGAAAGAGCTGACACCCAATTTTAGATAATAATCTGTGTTACGTGGGTTAATCCTTCGGTGTTCACTAACAAGCTAGAGAAATTTTAGCACGTTTGGTCGAGCGCCTAATTTATAATTGAGCATTTTTATAAACATGCGGGCTGCCTGAAAGTCAGGCTTCATGGTGCATTCGAGAGCAGTGACGTAAAAAGCGACGTATGAGCGTCTGTATTTCAGAGAATGATATTGGTTCGTGATCAGCTGTGTGTGAGATCAAGATAACTTGGTTTTCTCTAGCCCAGCTTGGCACCGAAATTGAACAATTTGCAGCAGCTGAAATTCGTTAAGAGATTACAGCTCCACTCCTTCCAGCTCATGGTATCAGATGCACCATGGCAAAATGGCGGTCGCCGGCGATGGGCGAAGTTTATGGCCGGCGAATTCTATGACTTCTTTTGAACTCAAATGCTCTTTTACGGCACACTTTTCATATCCTTATAGGCATAATAAACCGCCTACTTCTAGTTTTTGCCGAAAACCCCGAATAGTAGGATGACCGTGGCATGGCCCGTTTAAAATATTGTAGCATCACAATATTTTAAGAACGCACTAATGACTAACAACTAACCCTGCAATGCCTATTGTGAATTTGAACGTTTTCACTTTTTATCTAAGATGCCCAAGTTGAACACGACCCTTTCTTAATGTGTGAATCCCGAGCACTCGCAGCAAACATTTCATATGGCATAGGCAGTGTTAGATGTTAATTCAACAAGTAATGGTGCCTTTTTGAAGTATTCAGTTTAGGAGTTGCAGAGTTTGCATAAAGCCAACACATAGATATTAGAGATGTGCTGTGGGGAGATAAGGCTATTGGCAAGAGCGACGCCAGGATGGTGTTTGCACATAGTGTCATTACACTCTCATAACTGTAGTGCTGATAACGAAGTACGACAAAGTACCATGCCAGAACTTCATGTCACTTTGCTAGATAACTTACATTCACTATACAATATTGTAACGAATGTAGCAGCCTCACAACAACGATGTCCTATTTACGCGGTTTATTAAGGGCAAACTTGTGCCCAAAGTGAACAACGCACAGCAATCAAGAAGATCCAAGGCGGTAGTCCTCGTGAGCCTCTGCCTCGAGCACCCTCGTTCTCTTTTTCTTCACGCGCGTTGGCTGTTCGGCGGAGGACCGGGCGCATGCAGGGCCGGCTCGTGCATTGCGGCTGGCTTCGTCGCTCGTAGTCGTGCCGTTAGCGTTTCTCTGGTTCCCAACGTCCGCGTTGCGCGGAGCAATGGTAATTTCCTGTGGCATTATCCCCCCTCTCAAGAGGCATCGCCCCGATGCTTTCGATGATAATGTATGCAGCGTTTCCGTCTTGGAAGGTTTGTAAGAGGGAAATGGTTGTACAGCAAGTAAGTGGGGTGGCTAGTCTTCGTACTGGTCGTAGTACGGTTTCATGCGCACAATGTGTACACGCTCGGTGGGATTGCGTCGTTTAGAATGCCCATGTCCTGTAGGCTTGACTTCATAAACGAGGTCGCTGAGTCGCTGTACTACCTCGTAAGGACCGAAATACCGACAAATGAGTTTTTCAGACAGGCCTCGTCGTCGTACTGGGGTCCATATCCACACTTTATCACCAACTTCATATTGTGTTTCTCGTCTTCCTCGGTTGTAGCGGTCGGCATCGATTCGTTGTTGGTGACATATTCGGTACCTTGCTAATTGGCGGGCCTCCTCCGCTCTCTCTATATAGTCATCAAGATCAGAAGGGTAGCCATCTTGATCTATAGGTAACATAGCGTCCAGTGTTGTGGTAACTACACGACCGTAAACTAGTTGAAATGGGGTAATCTTGGTAATCTCTTGTACGGCGGTGTTATAGGCGAAGGTGACGTATGGTAAAATTTCGTCCCACTTTTTGTGTTCGACGTCCACATACATAGATATCATGTCAGCTAGAGTTCTGTTAAGGCGTTCAGTCAAGCCGTTGCTTTGAGGGTGATATGCGGTAGTTTTCCTGTGAACAGTGTGGGTCATGTTCAGCAGGCATTCCATGAGTTCCGCCGTGAAAGCCGGTCCGCGATCGGTGATTACAACAGTTGGAGCGCCATGCCGTAGCACTATGCTCTGTACAAAGAATTTGGCGGCCTCAGCTGCCGTTCCTCGATGCAAGGAGTCTGTTTCCGCGTATCTCATTAAATAATCAGTCGCTACAACGATCCACTTCTTGCCAAGTAAAGATGTCGGGAATGGTCCAAGGAGGTCCATTCCAACTTGTTGGAAGGGTGCTTTCGGTGGGTCTATCGGGTTCAGAAGGCCCGCTGGCTTAGCACGAGGCGCTTTCCGTCTTTGGCACTCGCGGCATGTTCTGACATAGCGCTGTACTGAAGACAATAGCTTGGGCCAATAATAGTGCTGACTGATTCGTGCAAGCGTACGAGTGACCCCCAAATGTCCAGACGTAGGCTCATCGTGGCACGCTTGTAATATTTCTTGCCGCATAGTTGCGGGAACGACAAGCAGAAACTTTTCACGGTTGGGCTTAAAGTTTCTCTTGTAGAGGACATTTCCTCGGAGGCAGAACGATGCGAGGCTTCGAGAAAATATACGAGGTACTTGTACGTCAGCTCCTTTCAGGTGTTTGATGAGCGGGAGCAATTCTTCGTCCGCATGTTGAATTTCAGCTATCTGAGAAGTCTCGACAACAGCCACGAATGGAAAGTCCTCTTCATCTGATAGTGCTGTGTCTGCAGGTGCCCGTGACAAACAGTCGCCGTCGGTATGCTTCCTGGCAGATCGGTATACCACAGTTATGTCAAATTCTTGCAGTCTGAGGCTACACCTTCCTAGTCGTCCGGACAGGTCCTTGAGGTTGGCGAGCCAGCAAAGGGCATGGTGATCGCTGACTGCCTTGAATGGTCTACCATACAAGTAAGGCCGAAACTTACTGATGGCCCAGATGACGGCAAGGCATTCTTTCTCTGTGGCCGAATAATTGGTCTCCGCCTTTGTTAGAGTCCGGCTGGCGTATGCTATCACCTTTTCTTCCCCATTCTGCCACTGTATTAGGATGCATCCTAGGCCGATGTTGCTGGCGTCTGCGTGTATTTCCGTGTCATCTGTTTCATCGAAATGAGAAAGGATTGGGGGCTCTTGCAACCGTTTTCTTAATTCGTTGAAGGCGCTTTGTTGCTCTGTTTTCCACTGGAAAGGTACATCTTCTCTCATAAGTTTCGTCAAGGGTTCTGCAATCTGCGAGAAATTTCTGACAAATCGTCGGTGGTAAGCACACAGACTTAGGAATCTCCGTACTGACTTTTTGTCTGCTGCCACCGGGAACCTTGCAACGGTGGCTGTCTTTTCGGGATCAGGGCGCACACCGTGGGCGCTGACAACGTGCCCAAGGAATCAAAGCTCTTCGAAACCAAATTGGCACTTCTCTGGCTTGATGGTTAAATCTGCCGAACGGATTGCTTCTAACACGGCTCGCAGGCGCTTGATAAGCTCCTCGAATGTAGCGGCGAAGATGACCACGTCGTCAAGGTACACTAAGCAACACTGCCACTTCAATCCGGAAAGTACAGTGTCCATCATGCGTTGGAATGTTGCCGGCGCACAACAGAGACCAAAAGGGAGAGCCTTGAATTCATAGAGTCCGTCCGGGGTAACAAAAGCAGTCTTCTCGCGATCACGTTCATCAACTTCGATCTGCCAGTATCCACTTTTCAGATCTAGTGATGAAAAGAACTTGGCACACCAAAGTCTGTCTAATGCGTCGTCAATACGCGGGAGGGGATATACATCCCGTTTAGTCACAGCATTTAATTTCCGGTAGTCGACGCAAAACCTTAGCGTGTTATCCTTCTTCTTGAGAAGTACTACAGGAGATGCCCACGGCCTGCTAGAAGGTTGAATAACATCATCTTCAAGCATCTCCTGTACTTGATTCTTGATGACTTCTCTTTCTTTTGGTGAAACCCGGTACGGGTGCTGGCGTACCGGCCTGGTTGTCTCGTCTGTTACGATCCTGTGTTTTGTAATGATTGTGCGTCGTACCTTTGAACTATTGGAGAAACAGCTGCCAAATTCCCGTACAAGGTCGTATAGCTGTTGACGTTGGATCACTGAAAGATTGGGATTTACGGATATTACGTCGCAGACATCAGATGTTGGTTTCATATCCGTTGACGTTGTTTCAAGGCTGCATATTTCTGTGGCTTCACAAACCTCATGAAGGAAGGCTATGGCTGTCTCCTTTGCGATGTGCTGGAATTCGTTCCCAAAATTTGTCAGGAGGACGTCTGCGTACCCGTTTCGTAGCTGGATAATCCCTCGTGCCACACAAACACCTCTTTTCAGGAAAACATTCATGTTGCTGTCTGCCACACCTTCGTAGTCACCAAACGTATCATTTCTAACTAGAACCATTACACTGCTCTGCGGCGGTACAGTCACATCATCATCGACGATGCGCAGTGGAGTGGTGTATTGCTCGTCTGCTCGAGCTACCTTTATAGCTTGTTCCGTCAAAAATGATACGCTGGACCTCTGCAAATTAATAATGGCACCATTTTCTTGCAGAAAATCCATTCCGAGTATAACTTCTCTCGAACATACAGGCAGGACAACAAAGTCACCAACGTAAGTGAAACCTCGTATCTCAACTCTTGCGGTGCATCTGCCGAGAGGCGTAATAAGGTGACCGCCTGCCGTACGTACTTAAGGTCCACTCCATTCGGTCAGAACTTTCCTGAGGCACTTCGCTAAATCGTAGCTCATCACAGAGTAATCCGCACCGGTATCGATTAAAGCCATGAGCTCTAGCCCACAATTACCAACGGCAAGTCTGAAGTTATCTTCTCATTACTGCACTTCTTTACCTGGAGACAGTCGTCGTCGTCGTCACGCTGGTGTCGCAGTGGAGGATCTTCGTATTTTGAATCACCAGCGGCCTCGCCTCCACAGGTCGCCCACTTCAGTTTCCCGGGTTTGGACTAGGCGAACGATGCCTAGGGGCGTTTGGAAAGGAACGTGGGCTTAGCGAGCGCTGACGTAGAGGGGATGGTGGCCTCGGTTGGTGACGACGATGCAGGTCGAAGCTCTGACGTGAGCACAGGTATTGCTCGATGTCGGACGGCCTTTCGCCGTTTCGCGAACACGGTGCGTTGACCGCAAATCCTCGAAGACCAGCTTGACGATATCGGCAAAACCGGTAAAGATGGCCAGCCTCTCCACAGTGGAAGCACAGGGGCCTACGTTCCGCATCTCGCCATACATCGCTTTTTTGAGGTCTTGTCTCTGTCGAAAGAGGTGCGCTGCGAGTTGCCTCTACGATATGGCGCGAGCTACGTGTTGTCGGTGCGTAAGTACCAGGTGTCTCGATAGGCGCACAGTGGACAGCAGGCGGCCTGAGCACCTCAGAATAAGTTACCGCGCGTCGTGTCGGTGGTGCATCCCTTTGCGGCTCCCGTATGGCCTGCCGAATTTCTTCTCGGACAACATCCGCAATAGACAGTTCCAGTGATGCGGGTGGCTGCAGCTTGCGTAGTTCCTCCCTGACAACTGACCGGACGAGCTCCCACAGAGTGTCAAGATTATCGACAACGTTTGCCGAGAAGACCCCTGCTGATGTACAGGCTACGTCACGATTGTATTGCCGGGCTCTCTGCTGCAGCGTCGTTTCTATTGTTGTTACTACCGACCGAAACTCAGCAACAGTGCGCGGCGGATTGCGAACGAGCCCCGCGAACAGCTCTTGTTTTACCCCATGCATGAGATGATGCACCTTCTTGTCTTCAGTCATGTTGGGATCAGCTCGCTTGAACAGGCGGGACATGTCTTCTATGTACATAGCGACAGTCTCATTTGTGCGTTGATTCCGTGCACGAAGAGCTGCTTCTGCCTTTTCCCGGCGATCATTGTTGCCAAACGTACACAGTAGCTGCCGCCGGAACTCTTCCCAGGACGTCAAAGATGCGTCGTGGTTTTCGTACCACACTCGCGCTGCGTCTTCCAAAGAGATGTATACGTTGCGCAACTTGCCTGCTTCGTTCCATTGGTTTATGTTCGCCACCCTCTCGAAATGATCCAGCCAGTCTTTGGCGTCCTCGAACGGGTCACCATGGAACACCTTCGGTATGACAGGCTGGCTGACAATGAGCTGTGATGTTGCAACTTGGCTAGTCATGGTGGTGGCGTTTCTTGTTTCCGTCGCTGATGCCCTTGGCACAGGGGGAAGTGGTCCAAACTCTGGTGAATCCCCTCGAATACGGCGACTGATCCGTTGGTGCACCGCGTAAGCTCCACGGCTTGCGGATGGTCAGGGCTTGGACTTCGCTCTCTCGTGGGGGTTGGAATCATCTACCCCGCACCTCCACCAGAAAATGTAACGAATGTAGCAGCCTCACAACAACGATGTCCTATTTACGCGGTTTATTAAGGGCGAACTTGTGCCCAAAGTGAACGACGCACAGCAATCAAGAAGATCCAAGGCGGTAGTCCTCGTGAGCTTCTACCTCGAGCACCCTCGTTCTCTTCTTCTTCACGCGCGTTTGCTGTTCGGCGGAGTACCGGGCACATGCAGGGCCGGCTCGTGCATTGCGGCTGGCTTCGTCGCTCGTAGTCGTGCCGTTAGCATTTCTCTGGTTCCCAACGTCGGCGTTGCTCTGAGCAATGGTAATTTACTGTGGCAATATGTTGGATGAGTTGGTTTTTAACTTCCGTATTTACAGCGCTTTCTGTGTCTGTAGGTTCTTCTCAGTGCCATTGTATGTGATGTAGATATGAAAATTTGCACACAAGAAACTAAGGACAGGCTAAAGATAGCTCCACTGTCACAGTTGCCTTGCAAAAGGTGGTCAGCTCGTAATCAGAATGAACAACTCACTGTGTTGGGCTGAAGAGTGGAGTGCTTCATGTAGAAAGGCTTGAGCGCCGATGGAAAGTGTGTCACGAACAGTGGTGCTGCATTGCCACAGTGCTTTACCAAGTATTCCTCGTGCTCTGCTCCCAGGTCCTGGCCCCACTGCAAAATCAGCCCTCAGTCTGAGAACTGGCTAACCTCCCTGTCCTTCCTCTTTCAATCCTCCTCCTCCTCCAACCCTCAGTATTGCTAACCAAATCCTCATCATGGAAACGTGACTAGGCAACACCAACAATATAGGGTACTACACTCAAACCCTAATATAACAAACATGCATACAACGAAATATCGCTTATAACGAAGTAAATGAAGAATAGTCTTGCAATAGACAGTGTTGGGAATATACTTTTATAACAAATTTTTCGATATAGCAAACTTATTTTTGTGTAAGATGCAACTTTGTTGTAATGAGGCTTGAGTTTAGTTCTCTTGCAGTTTTGCTTCACATTGCAGAAGCACTTTATAAAAACAAAAGGCTTCATCCCGTTCATCTTGTATGCTTGTGGATGGTTTCACACTGACATACTTTTTTCTTCATTAACCTCACAGAGTAAAGCTCAGCAACTAAGAAATAGACATAGAAATGACATTATAGGATATCTCCTCACGTGAAAGCTCATATAAGGGTTAACAGTTTTCAACATACAGGAAACGCTTCACCAAACAAAATAATTTTGTTCACGTTATCCCCACCAGTCATTGTTCATGCTGGAGTTCATACATTTTGAATAGTTTTTACACACGCACATTCATTCCAGATTTTTTATTCCTAAACAATATCCTTGACTGCAAGTAGGTCAAATCTCAGCAACAGTCATTCAAGTGTTTCTCAGACTGAAAGATTACTCACCTCAATGTTCCGAAGTGAAGATTTTTCATTTCTTGCAGACTGAAGAACATTGATACATTCACTGTATGTCATCCTGCAAAAAAATTCAGGTTGAGCAAAGTTGATTAGTATGAGGCTAGGTTTCAGGATAGAAGGCAAGTGTTACACTCAGACAGAACGACTTTTCAGCAGTTCTTAAGCCCCATTGTGACTGCTTTCAGCTTCGTGATGTAAGATTGAAGATAAATATGTTTGCAGCTGATTGTTTCCAATGCAAAGTAGTTCTAGCAGCGCAAATATTACTGCCAATCTAAGAAATTAAAATTACACTAGTGAATACACACAGCTTGCTCTTGTGCTTTGTAATTCATTAGGAGTTTTTGCTTCAAAACAGTGAAATACAGCAATAAAACCAATTATAAATAAATCGACAAAAACTTTAAAAACTTCTAAGTTTGATGTCATCCTGAACCCCGACAAAACCATGTCACTATTTTGAAGGCAGCAATCAACAAAAAGGTTTAGTTTTTAAATTCGTGCTTTAGCTAGAACATGAGTATATTCAGAATTTTGGTATGTGATGTAAATGCATCATATTATATCAAGCTTCTGTATAATGCTGTTGAAAAAAAAACATTAAGTACTTTTCATGACTAAACAGTGTGAGTGCTTGACAAAAGAGATGATTACATGTTTGAATCATTGCCAAAATTTGTGGTAAAAATAAAAATAACCAACAGACCGAAATGCCAACAATCTTGTGGCGACTCGGCACGTTTTAAAAATGTGACGTAATAAACGAGAAAAAATGGCATATATTATGAGTTCCAACAGCCCACTTTGACATTTTCAAATGTACTCTAAATATGTTAAATTACTATACAGTTAGTTGACCGTTTCTTCACTACCAATATATGATTCTGTAGAAAAACTGTCAATGTTTTATGCCTTCCTTATACTATCATCAGCAGCATGAATTTACATGAGTTGTGGTTCGGAACATTGCTTCTTTGACATTATAGTATCTTCATACTCACCTAGTAAAAGGCTTCTCTAGAGCAGCCTGCACTGTCTCAAGGTGTCCAGAAGGAGCATCTTTTGTAATTACGGCTACATCTTCGTTCGAAGAATTCACCAGACTCGTGAACACGTTCTTCACGACATCTTCTGTCCTCTGTGGGGGTTCAATAAAAAGCCCCTTGTTTAAGTGAGATGATGCACACCACAGCCCAGTTGTAACAGTGTTCAGGCAGCCAAAAACTTCATTACTGCCACGATATGCACACTAATATTGTATAACTCCCATATGAAATATACTGAACAAAATCCATTATAATTAGCCACTGTTACTGCATGAACTTGTTGCACCATGAATACAGGTACTATTATCTGGCAGCTTCTGGAAAATGTCCTGTGAATAATTGACAGATAGTTACTCGATATCACAATATAAGCAATGTCACTAGGACTCAAACGCATAGCCAGAAACTTATTTGGGGGCAGGGGTTGTGATGGGTTCTAACCCCAATTTATGTAAGGTCATGCATATGCTTGTATGCGTTAATGTAATGTTGCACATTAATATGACTTGCAACTCTGAAACACGCGGCCTCTTGAGCTGGAAGGTTGTGCATGGCTTCAAGTTGCCCTTATTTCCACATTAAATGATATTTTCTTATTGGGAATCATTGCCAAGTGACAAAACATCGTTTAGCTATAGAAATAAAGGCCAGTGAAACCCACGTGCAATTTTGGATCTTATGAGGCCATGTGCTTCCACCTTGCAAATCATACCGAGCACAACCGTACAGTACTCACAGTTTGAAATATGACTTTTTTTTGTATAACGGCTGCTATGATGAGCATTTGCTCACGATAACCACATCACGTTACAGCAAACCTGGCCACTAAAGATAGTGTTGGCTCCAATTAAGTGCTTTAGTCAAAATTACGCGAAGATGACACAAACTGCTGACGCTAGAAATGAAGGTGCGAGCCTTACTTAGCCACAAACCTCTTGTGTTTAACTCCATGGACACTGTACTACACACACAGTACGTAAAAACTATTTGCTGGCCAAGAGTGGGGCTTTACATCCCCATACCAGGCCTCTGGCTATGTCAGCACTTGTACAGATATGTAAAGATGAACGGCTCAGAGAAATGCTGAAAAATGACATGATTAGAGGCACCGTTCCCTCCTGTCTCTTGTGAGCAAAAATTACAAAAACAGTAAAATACAGCACCTTAATTAACATATAGCACAAACAGATACACCCAAATCTCATTTTAACAAAGCTACATCATACATGAAAATAAGTTTGTTATGTCCGAAAATTCATTATAAAAAGTTAATCTTGACATTATATATACTGCAAGGCCATTTTTCATTTAATTCATTATAACCAATATTTCGTGATATCCAGCTTTGTTATATCAAAGTTTGAGTGTACACAGACCCAATTGAAAATGAAATAAAATAAGATGGGTGCCAGAAAAGCAACAGGACTACAACACTGATTCTTTCATGCCAGGCTTAGGCAGTGTTACGGTGAAACTACATGAATGCCAATGGTCAGTTTTATTAGAAAAAGGTTGTCAAGCCTTGAATTGAATAAAAAGCTCACCTGAAGCAAGGTATCCAAAGACGTAACAAAGGCCTCCTCAGCTTCCACCATGCAGAACTCACAGACGTGTCGTCGCGTGTTACAGTTCTCCGCACGAAATGTGGGACCCACTGTGTAAACCCTCGACAAGGACCTGCAAAGAGCAATCAGTGCTTACAAAGAACTTTTTTGGCTGCTCATATTCATTCTAAACCAACCTCAAGCAACACCAAACCGTGATGTTTGAAGGGCAACGTAATGAGAGAGCTTCGGCCGCCCATATTATTTCATTGTGTGACCGGTCATGGTAACCTGGTCGCTTGGTTTTACGACGACAGGTTACACATTTTATTGTGCCATCGACCATGTTAACTTTGACTCTTCAACTATTGCAGCTTGAAACTAGTCAGCCCTTCTTTGAAACTCTGAATCTTAAAGGGCCCCTAAACCAGCCAGGGGTCAAAATTTAGTTGTGGTGTTGTAGTAGGGCACGAGTCTGCAGCGAACACTGGCAGAGTTGCAAGTGTTCTCTTGTTTTACTCTTTCTTTCACTAGGCTGCGTTCGTCGGTTCATTTCTCCACCTCTCCGAGTGTCCTTCTTCAATGTCCGAGCTGGAAACGCAAAAAGCGTGCTCATCTGATAGCAGAAAACAGGCCCTTGTTCGCCCACCGACAGCGTCTGTTGCCCACAACGTCACCCAATCATACAGGTGGCGTCATCATAGCTGTTGTCGATAGAAGAAAGGCACAGAGAGGAGCACAGGGCTCTTCAGGCTGAGCATTCCTTCAACTGCCTGCTGTTCATGAATTCAGGTCTCGAAATTCCTGTGACCCCTTTGTCTCAAAAGCCACGAAATGGCAAGTTGCGATGCAGGCTTGTTGCTATGTCATTTTTCTAGTTACTACGGTAGCACAAAGAAACAGGACACAAGAATGAACAAAAGAAGGAGAATCATTTTCTAGGGGCTCGTTTGGGTGTTAAATATAATATAACCGAAATAAAAAGAGCGTACAGTTAGGTCAGGGCATGTATGAGGACAATAATTACTGTGTTAGTTGCAAGTGTACTAATCAGGAGAAATTGAAATCAATTGAAGTGGTCGAAAAATAGCCCTTTCTTTCCTTCAAATAAGAGCATGATTTTTGTCACTTCTCCTTTCTTGTGGCCTGTTTCTTTGTGCAGCCACAGTGACCAGAAAAAAAAGATATGGTAGCTTTATTAAACACGTGTTCCTCGCAACGATACTCACATGGCAACGGCTTCCAAGTGGAGCTGTGCTGATACGGTTAGGAAGACGGGTGTGCCAAAAAAGAGCTCCTCGGAGCTTCTTTGAGATTCCTCCTTGTCTTCTTGTTTCATGGGCTGTGCTTAAAGCAGAACATGAGTTCTTAATTGCATGTGTGAGGGCTACTGAAAGACGCATGTCTTTTGAAGTGCTTGTTATTAAACACGGCTGATTTATATTTGAAATTTGGCGATTCAAGCGATGTGTTATTGTGTTTTCTTTAGTAACATGCTAATACACAGAACCCACATGCTGAATTAGTCGCCAATCAAGTGTTCATTACGCTTACAAAATTATTATTACTGTAAAATCCTTTGCAAGTGCCCCTTTCCGCTTTTCGGGAGATTTTGTATATGCACCCCTCTTCCTCTCCCATCATTTTTCCACGTTTTATTCACTGTTTGTATTTGCCCAACAAGGGCTAATGGAAACAGAATGTGTGAGCATTCAATAAAGCATTTTATTACAAACACGCATTTCTAAAATTTCTAGCGGCTTTTCTGCTGCATCTTGAATTTAGATCCATGACCGAGTAAGGGCTTCCTCCAAATCTTGCTGTATTATCCTTCACCGTTGGTGAGGCACTAGTTCGGTATTTTACGTTAAACAGATTACCACATATCTACAGTGCATCGTCATATACACAGAGTTGCTAAATACCCATAACCTTCACTATCTTACAAGCTTTTACTAAGTGCATCTATAAATGAAGCAGCTCAAGGTTCCGTTTTTCAGATTGTTAATGAGTCTATGGCAACAAAATGGCTACTACAACCACAATTTGGTATCGTAGTCAATATAGTCATAGCTTTCATACTCGTAAACTACTTTCAGACACTAACACTTCCACTTGCAGATGTCATGAATTCCTCAAACCACAGGCATGTTGCCACTACACACAGAAGTTTCCTGCAATTTCTGTAAAAGTGCTCAAATCATTAACTTATGATTGTTATGCAAACATACCTAAAGCATAATATCAATTGCATATGTCTGCTTATGGACTAAAAGCTTTACATTTCTTACAAGGTTATAAATTTTACTCTATGTTCGCCCCACACTGAAACTGCAGAGAAAGGGACACGTGGTTCACGAGAAAACGAAACTTTGAAATGTTACAGTGGTTTCTCATAACTGCACACTGCATGCAAGAACTGACTGGCGGGATTAATTGGTTCATAATAATGGTAACTAATGCCATAAAATAAGACACGATAAAATGTGATCCTTCACACATGCAGGAACAAGAGATTAGGAGAGTGTACCTTGACAGTGAAAACATTCCCACCACCCTCGCAGTCATTGGATGTCAGGATTGGCGTGTGGACATGAAAGAAGCCCTGAGACTGTAAGTAAAACAGGAGAAAATGTATTTTTGTCATAACCTGAAAGACATTGAACAATAGTATCACCAGAAATTAGACTTCTAGAACCGACTGCCACCTTCAGAAGCCACACGTCACAGACAGCAATGGCCTAGTCGACAGTTTTATACAGCTGTCGTGAATGTCAGAGACAGCAAAGGGCTATACAGCTTCAAGTTGATATTTGAAGACTGTTGGCAGCAAATAATGAAACCACCACGTACCTGAAATGCAGCGTGCACTGCCATTAAAGCAGCACTGCGAAGCCGCAGCATGGCCGCCTCTTTGGCCTGCCGCGATCTGAAATGGGGGAAACTTCTAACGTACTCCGGAGGGTACGTTTTCCGAGGATGAAACGGGTATCCCTGCATGATGATATCACCATTGCTTTCACTTGTACATTCAACTTTCAGTTTGCAAGTGACGCAACAATGAAATTCCATAGCCTGTTGTCTCCATCAATTGCACAAGATTAAGGAATGTCATTGTATTCTAACAGACCTTTGGCAGCTCAAGTAACAAGGACAAATAATTATATTCTATCATACTACAGTTGGTTGCAACCTAAGAATAAATGTAAGTTCCAGCCACAGTTTGTCGCTGCCCCACCTAGGTAGATTTCGCTTAGATGTCCAATTCAATAGCATTTGCTTATTTACATAACGTGAAGCATCTCTCACATATTTCAAGTAGGTAGTTCTCCCATACAAACACATGTTTTCGCCACTGGTTTTGGATAAAAAACTTTAAGTTGCTGGAAAATTTAAGCAAACATTCCGACATACCTGCTCAGCGAAACAAAATATTCGAACAATGAACTTCAAATTTTCAATATGCATAGTATTTACATTAACAGCCAAAAAGCAATCATGGTTCGAACGAAAACAGCCTGGCATGGCTCTCTTGAACAAACAAATGGCTTGTGCGCTGAAGGGTATGTTAATTAGGCTCAGGTAACCAAAAATAATGTGAAGCTCTTCAGGTAGGCATTTATTGTAGCCCACGTACTGCTTGGGGACAAACTCTGTGGATCAATCAATCAATAAATTGTTTCTGCCCAAATGCAGTGCCCAGAGCTAGGAAAACTGCTATGCTCGTCTGGACACAACGCATTGCTGAAATAGACCACCACGTCTAAACTACAAACTCTACTCAGCCAATACCTCTATATCACAAGGTCCCAACACTGTGACGTCTTCGGCGTGCACCTCAAGTTCCTGCCCTTTGTGTGAACTGGCTACCAGTTTTCCAAAAACCTGGATAGCTGAACCATACGAAAGGCCCGGCCTAAAATTGACACAAAAACAAAAATAAGCTCAAGAAAGTAGATGACAAGTACGTACATTGGTTATCGGCAGGCACTTTCCAAGTCCTCAACAAATTAAAAAGTATTTCATTTTCGAAGGTGTCTGTTACATGTAGCACTTAAATGTGCTCGTCATTTCCCAATGCAACTAAACAAAACTAGGAAGAGTATTTTATTTATTTCATTAAATTCCAACAATAATGTTCGCTGTTGAATTGTGCAGCACTATGTACAAGGGAGTGAAAATGAAACAACACGGTTGTCTATATGCAGGATCAAGTTTACCTATTCCACCTGAGCACTCCACGAGTACTTCACAGTGAAGCACTAATCATCACGGGCTGATAAAATCAACACCACAAAGACAGGTCATGGTGAAGCATTAATTACATTCATGGGCTGATGAAATGAAGCATTTAAATAACACATTTTTTGTTTCATTTTTTCTAGGAATGCGTGCAAGTACACGCGCACGTGTTTTTTGAGCTGGTATTTCTGTGCCTTTATTAAACTGGAATTTGTAATTTTCTGTACGTTCAGCCGTTAAGGAACAGTAACACGTACGATATGCTACCTGTGGGCTAAGTGGCGTTTATCTATGTCTGTGTTCATGTTTATAGCATAAAAAAGTAAAGCCTAGCAAACGCGCAGTAATAGTGATTAAAATGTCCGGCACGAAAAATGAAGGCATGGGAAACATGTTGCCGCACCTCACGCAGTTTGCAGGAACAACAACCTGAACTTTAGATGCGGCTGAACCATCGGAAAGGTCCACGAACACCATATCCTTGTGTTTTCGTAACGCCCTGACCCAACCCTGCAAGAACAGATGAAACGTCCATTGCAGCAACGAGATCGGACTAGTCGAGGCACTAAATCCAAGCTTCACCGTACCTTCATTTCGATTGCTTTGTTAACGTCTTTAAATGCCAATATCTGTTTCACCGATTGACAACCAAGCTGAATTGACGTGGACAATGCTCTCCGACAGAACTTGAGGGGAGCACTGCAACGACAGGCTGAAAACCACATGATGAAAATTTCAGCCCCATGCAGCGAAGATAGGTTATAGAGAAGCAGAAGGTTTTGCGCGTTTAAGGTCCGCAGCAAATTATTAGGGCTAAATTGTGCACAAACAAACAACTTTGTTAACTGTAAAAATTATATTTAATAGTAAAAAATTATTATTTGTTCAATAATTTATTTTATTAGTTATGTAATTTGTATTTTGTTCAACTACTGAAGTGCGATCCTGTTGTCATATGACTGCGTGGGGTCAAAGATGATCCGTGCGGAGTAAAGTTTGTTTACTACGGGCCGTACGTTCTTTTGATCCAACTTTTCCCCAATGGGCTGCTGCTTCAGCTGCAACGAAGACAAGCGCTCACAGGTAGAGTTTCTCCTTAACGGAAAAAGTGAGTGCGGTGGCTTAAGTTCCAGTTGGGTTCGTTCTGTCACAAAGCGGTAACGGGCCGCTGCTGATCGCATGAAGCACCGTCACCGGCGCGCTCCATCCGCATTTCCGATATTGAAAATGTGTAGCATGGCTACTGCAGAAAGGTCGATGTTATCCCCGCAGAGTTTTAGCGGCGCCTACTGTCATGTGCCTCGCCTGCTCAGAGTGGTAATGCGAAGGTAACGCCCACTATCGTGACAGGGACAGCGATCGCGCCAATTAGTCTTTCTTTGGGTTGTCAAACGCTCCTGCGTTGTGTAAGTATGCCCTGACGTTGTGATATCTGTTACCTGTCGCAGGATGAACCCAGCGAAAACTCTCGACTGCTAGCGAACCCGGTAGGCAACGCATCGCAGCACTCTTTCCAGTAAGTATCGTGACGTTTAAACGTGAGGTACTGCCTGCCCTTTCTGTGTTCTCTTGTAATCGCAGAATAGCTTCGAAAGAAACGGTGCAGATAAGCCACAAACGAGAGGTGGGATATGCCTGCTCTGAAAAGCCGTTCAGTCAAAAGATAAAAGCGTTGGGTCACAAGAGCCAAGGAATAAAACGGAACACACAGTCAAAATGCTTGTTGTTGATATGGCGTTTGAGACGCGATATTTTCGTATGAGTCGGCTCGTACTATCAGTTCACGGTTGTCTTCTCAGGCAGCCATACTAGGACCTGAAGGGACCCTGAAACGATTTTGATGATCTTGTATAAACGCATTGAGTAAATTAAGCAAGTCCTAAGTATCGTTTGCAGAGCGATTTATGACCTTTTCATCGACCATGCAATTTATTACAAGACTGTATACGTGAACTCTACAGACAGATCGCAGCGGCTTAACAAAAAGTGTTATCAAAGTTCCCGCATCCGTCCTAGATAGCATTCTTTCTTGTCACATAGCACTAGCTACTGTTCTAATTGGAGGTGTCCAGTCTATGTGATAAAACGTCCAGTGGGAAGTGAGCATCGTCTGCCCATGTCACAACATGCCCCGTGTTGGCATCATGAGCTGCGCAGTGGTGTTAATCTTAAGATTTCTTTTCTAAAATACAGCAGGAGTTGCCCTAGCCTGGTTTTGGGGTGCAAATGTAGTGACTGGTGAATTGAAAAGCTGTAACATCTTGTAAGGCATCTAATGAGTGCAATCACTTCAGCTCATCTAGTCTCTGCAGAGAGCTTTGGGCTCTTGCATGCGATCCATGCCAGGATCCAAGCATCTGAGGCTGTAACGCCATCCTGGAGGACTCAACCACGTTGTCTTAGTTTAAGCTTATTGGCGATTGTCCTCAAATGCTCATTGTTTATCCGCATTTCTTTGCTAATTGTCAATGTAAAAAAAAAAAAAGACTGTCTGGTAATGTAGTGGTATCAGGCAGAGCAGATCTCAACCACTCTGCAAGCTTAGTCTCACCTGACGACAGTTCACTGTACTGACAGCATGCGCTGCCAGGCACACTTGACGGAGCTCAACTTGGGATGGCTGAAAATTTAATGCAGTTGAGAAGGCAAAGCACTAGTGAGAAGGTGGGTATGGCTATAATTGCTCATAGCTGTCTTTATACAAAGTGGTTCGCTTAACGTGTGGTGCGAATTATTTGATGGTGCTGTAGCCTAAACGCTGCTAAATTTCAAACACTATTTCAGGGTCCCTTTTAAGCTTTGTATATTGTGTGTGCTTGTGTCTTTTGCGCTGCTTTATCTATTTTTTTGCGGTAGGGGGAGGAGTTAGTGAAGACCTGTGAACATTAGATAAATGTGTACAGCCTTTTCATGTAGCCTGGCTTAATTGTAGTGTGAATTGTATCTTTTGTGCAGTGACAGTTATGGCGGCACACAAGGCAGCTCAGCAGCATCCTGCCAAAGGGGACGACCAGAGTGCTCTTAATAGGATCATTCACCAGACGGCGGCGTAAGAGAAGCCTCTTTTATCACAGAGCGTACTGAGAGCATGTTAGGACAATTTATTGCTGACACACAAGGAGAGTGAGTGAAGGATCTACTATGGGCTCTTAGTGTTTTATGCATTAGTGCAGATTCGTTGTTGCTTTGTTGGCATTGACAACCATCACTTTTGTTGCAAAAGTAAGCAAGACACGTATATCGCAAGTTCAGCAGATCTTTCTTAAATTGAAGTTGGAAGTGACAGGGAGAAGAAACATTCCATCTATCTATAGTTTAATTGAGAGAATGACACAAGAACCAAGGACTATGCGTGTCTAGGAAGTGTCAAGTGTTTATATGTACTTCAATGAACTAACCATTATTATTGTGGTCTGCTTTGGATATCATTACCCGTGTGCCAGCCTTTTAGGTGCAACATTATATACTTAATTTTTCGATATGGGGCAGCTGTTACCCATTGGCTTTCGTGCACTTCCTGGCCATTCCCGCCTGGTATTCCGCCGGAAAATCTTTGCACCTGCTGGTGGCATGGGTCGGTGGACCTAAACTATAATAAAATCTGCAACAAACATCATGGGATAACATTGTTTTATTCACTTAACAATGTGCTTGGCTGCATCACGTGCTTCAATACGATTTTTGATATGTGGGGTTTAACGTCCCAAAACCACCATATGATTATGAGAGACACCGTAGTGGAGGGCTCCGGAAATTTTGACCACCTGGGGTTCTTTAACGTGCACCCAAATCTGAGCACACGGGTTCAATACGATTTTTATGTGTGGAAAAAGTTTAAAGCACACGGGCATGTGAAGGGCAGCTTCACATTTTTCACACTCCCATCGCCTCTTGGACTTTGTGTGCCGTGCCTTACTGACTAAGCAATGTCTTGATAGATTCTTCTTGACTTTGTTTGCCAGGATGTGGTGAGGAAAATGAGCCAGTTTGGCGGCTTGTAGGCGCAATGGGAAGGCCTCGACAGGAGGGTTTCTTTTGCAATTCTTCCACCACGCCATGTTTAGAAACGCCTGAGATAGTGCACCCTCTGCCACTGACGAAAAGAAATGCTTACAAAATGATAAAAACATGGACAACTATGTCCGTCTAGCGGATAATATACCAAGCAAAAGACAAACGCGACATACTGTGGTGCCATGTATAAAACAATGTCAAAACTAAACATTCTCTAAGCGGCACTGCGATTCGCCGTTCAAAACTCTTTTGGCTTCGTCAACCGCGGCCGGTGAATCGCCGGCAGCGAAAGCCAATGATGGGTTAAGGAAATAGCTATGGACAGACACCTCAACTGCTGTTGAAGTACCTTTTTTTATGTAGAGAAGTACACACTTGCATTGTGTATTTCAAACAGCCTGCTTTCCAAGCAGCATGCCATTTTTCATTGTACATGACGTAAACGACCATCAGAAAGCTGCGCTTCACTGTGCCTCACGTCTTGATTGACATCCAGTTTTTTCAGCATGCATTAGTGCTACTAGTAGGTTTCATAGAATGACAAAGTTGTCTATGAGGGTAATGAAATGAAAGCACTGATAACTATGACAGAATTATAATGGTGAAACTATGATGTTCCCACTATGGACAATGAAATGACCAATTTCCATGGCACAATGGTGAAAGTGTGATGACATGGAGATAACGGTGTGACTAATGCAGCAGTGAGACTTTGAAGCAGTTGCAGTATGCCAAAAATGGGATGAGTAAGCTGGTATCAGAATGACAAAATGATAATGACCATCTTGTCCTGATGACAATGGAAAGATCGTGACGGCATTTGCAGTGAGGTGACATCACTGAAATGGCTACAGAATTGTGGAAATTTTTCAAAAAATGCTTTCATAACACAAGCAGTGTGCACTGCTGTTGGATGAGTATCGTGGCCTTTGACAAAGATGCACCCTATTTGGCTAATGTCAGCAACCCTCTTGTGGTAGCTGTTGAGATTGACATAGCAGCTGGACAGAGCAGCTTGCAAATGCTGCAAGTGCAGGCATTTGCAAACTATATAAGCAAAGCCAAAGGTCAGTGGCCAACTTGTGACATCCTGTTGCAAGCAGCTCTGCCAAAAGTACACGCGCATTATTTTGACGTGAAGTGCCTGTGGTTGCTTGTTGATTTATAAGAAGATCGGCACCATGAATACAAGAGACCCGACCCAGTTCGTGATGTGCACTCGGTATTCACCACTGCATTGTGCTTCCTGTTCACATGACTCTTGGTGGTCCAACTGGGTCACTTTCATGAAATTCGCTGGCTTATGTCACTTTGTTTCTGTAGTACTTCGCAGCACCATTTTTCTTAATGCCATCTCAACTGAAGAGATAGGCAGCATTGTAAACACTGCTGCAATGTGTTTAAACTATACTTCAGAGACAACTAGACATCATATGTGAATGCAACATGGAAGATAATCTATGTGGTAAATTTATGCTGTTACCATAGCATGCGTTCTCTTCTGCACTGAAGCCTCCACCATGCTAAAGGGCTTCTACAGTGGTAAGTGTTGGCACTTGTGAAAGTGGCACAAACGAGTCGTTTAAGCTATCACACAATGGACTTAATATGGGGCTCTGTTGTCTCGTGTATCTCCTGCCACAGTAATTTTTCTAATATTCCAAGTACAAATGGGGTTACTTTGAAGAAAAGTTTGCTATCTCACCTTGTTGCCACGAGCACAATGGGAACTACACAAAATATGGGGACAATGCCA